CAGCACAGGAGAGACATGGATCTGTTGGAACACATCTTAAGGAGGGCCACAGAAATGCTCCAAGGGATGGAACACCTCCATTTGAGGGCAGGTTGAGAGAGCTGAGGCTGTGCAGTGTGGAGGGCAGAGGGCTGGAGGTAGACCTCAGGGCGGCCTTTCCAGATCCAAAGGAGCTGGGGACGGACTCTTTAGCAGAGGCTGTGTGATAGGACAAGGGGAAATGGCTTCAAACTGAAAGAGGAGAAACTTATACTGGATACAATGAGAAAGTACTCCATGCAGGGTGTGCAGTGCTTTAGGAGCCACGTGTGAGCTCCTGGTGCCAAGGCTGTGCCCAGCTGCAGGCAGCTGCTTTCCAGTCCTCATTCCCCTGATGCTCACAGTCCTGCAAGAGCTGTGCTGCGCTGCTTCACCACCGATCCTGAGGTCTGAAGAGATATGTTCCCTGAGGACTGTTCCACTGCTTTTATCAGCAGTGCATTGTCAAACTGGAGATAGAAATGCACCTGGAGGAGAGTGGGAGTGCTTTGTGCAGCTCAGGATGCCTCTCCTATGGGTGTCATCTCCCCAGTGGGTGTCAGAGTCTCACAGACTCATAGCTTGGCCTGGCACCATCCCATTCTGATGCTGTGAGCAGGGCTGCTACCCATATGATTTATTTTGCTCAAAGACCAACAGATCACCAGTAGTGGCAACTCACCCACCAGACATCACAAAACCCCTTTCCATGGAAGGTCCCTCTGCCATCATCTCCTATGCTGGCCAATGGCAGAAATGCAATAAAGAAAGTGGGTCTGTAGTCTGTAATCTCCTGGGAAGCAAAATCTCCCTTTTGCTGCAAGCTCAGCTGGGGCCGAGGGCTCTGCCTTGCAGGCACTTGGTCTCTGTTTTACACAGGACAGATCACCATGTTGTTACAGAGCCCCATGCCCAGAGCTGCAGCTAGAAAACCTCCGAGCACTGAGCTGCACTGCGTTCCCAGTTGGGCTCTTATCTTCCAAACTGCCAAGGTCACACTGCAAATATAGAATTGCTGTATGTGGGGATGGTGGCATCCTGTGCACGTGGGAAGAGCTGCGGTGTGGCAGCCCCAGCCCTGCTCCTGGGGCCCAAAACATGGGGCAGTCCCTAAGAATGCTGAGAATGTGGGAATGTTCCTACGGGGCCAGAGGGGCTGGGGATGGTGGGCACTGCAAATTCTGGTGAAGGACCACTAAGGCAGCAGTGCAGATTCCTCAGGACAGCACCTGAGGGAATCACAGAGGGCACTGATCTGAATGCTGCAGCACTGGGGATGTTTTGGGAGCATCTCACTCCAGGGCTCTGTCAGGATGCTGCTCCAGGGTGGAGGTGGGGGCTGTGCTGCCTTTAGGAAACATTACACATGAGGTGGGGGGGGGGGGAGGGAGGGAATGCTGAAAAGAAAAGAAACTCAGACATTTTCCAGAACTGGATTTATTGTATTTGCAATCATAACGTTTTGCTTGTCCTCTGTTACGCCGCTGCACGCCCTCACCTCTAAGCGAAGGGCTCGGGGTGGTACCTGCATTTAAGCATTGTATTACTTTCTTTTCCTCTGAGAACGGTGATAAAGGATGGGCTCGATTTCTGCATCTTTTGTATGGGTGCAAAGTACTCATTTAACATACAGAGGCTTGGATTCTGTTTTGTAAAATCTTTAGGTTCATTTTCTTTTTAACGCCTTTTATTGGTATTCCCACAATACACACAGGAGCCTTAGAACTCAAACAACCAACTCACGGAGAGAGATGGGCACACAGGGGATCAGACCCTTTTCCTTTCTTTTTCCTTTCTTTTCGTCATCACTTCTCTTGCACAACAACCACCTCCGGCTGAGAATGGAACGTGGGACCCCCAGGCCCCGCTTTGGGCTATGAGAAACCTCCAGCACCACGAGCAGCCATTTCCTGCCTCATTCCCAGTGGCACAACAGTGTGAATGCAAACCCTGTTCCCATGGGTGCAATTTTGCATACACAGATTGCTGCAGCAGGGCAGAACCCACGCCAGGGATGCTCACCCCCACGGAACAGGGCAGCAATAGCAGCTGGCCCCGGTGCAGGGTTCACATGGTCATGAATCGTCCACAGAAGGCTGACTCAAAGGTAACCCCACGTCTGGGTTACAGCACGGCAGTTGTATGGCTCAGGGCTGATGAGACAAAGAAAGGCTCAGTGTAGCAGTGGCGTGAGGGGCATCCAACTTGGGAGCACCCACCCATGGCAGGGCAGCACCTGGCCACACGTGTGTGCCAGTCACCGACGCACGACTCAGCCTGCAGCAGCGCATCCTGCAGCCACATCCCCCCACCCTCGTGGCACCAACAGGGTGGGACCAGCATGCTCCCCAGGCTCACCCCTGTCTGAGCCCCTTCCTTGCACAGTTTCAGCCCGCTGAGCCCACAGCACCTCAGTCTCAGCCCCTGGCTCAGGGCACAGCCCTCACACCATCACAGACAGGAGCACGAACATCTGTGTGCCATCCCTGGGTGAGCGCCGCAGCCTCGCTCCGGAGGGAAGGTGCTCATCTCTCTCCTTTAGGACTCCTGCTCATCAGTACAACATTTCAGAGAATAATCATCATCATAGTAATAATCATAGTACTAAAAACAGTATTTACAACAAGCTCCAGGTCAGAAGTACACACCAAGCAAACACTCAGCACCACAGAGAGCAGGACGGGGTCAACATCTCGCGGATACCTTCTCAGATCCCACCAGCGTGGGACACAGACATGTGACAGTTTCAACCCTTTCTTACACACAAACATTTTGCTTAAATTACTTTTTAAAATTAGGTTTGTTTTCTTTTTTTTTTTTTTTTTAAACATGTTTTTTTTCCTCTTTTCAATTTCTTGTCACTATATGGATGAAGTGATGCTGGCTCTACAACGATGCGTATCTAAGACAGCTGCTACTATAAACAGATCATTGGCTACTGCTAAGAAAGTCAACCCTCAGTTCCTCTCCAGTTCCCTCTCTGCCCCCAGTGCTCTGCAGTACCCCAGCACCAGGGTTGGCCCTTCCTGCAGGAGCAGAGTTGCCCCAGAAATGCTCTATGGCCGTGGAGGGGTTGCTCCTGGATCTTCGGGGACTTGTGGGGAGATCAGCAAAGAGCTCAGGGTCAGACCTCCAGCAGTGCTGCCCTTTGGCTTTTTGGGTGGGTTTTCTTTTCTTTTCTTTTTTTTTTTTTTGGGTCGTAACCATTTGTTTGGTGTGTGTAATTAAAGCATACCTGAGACAGAAAACGTCAGGTCCTAACTGAGCCAGCAATGCTTTTTGGGAGGGATGGAAAAGGAAGCACGCAGCCTGTGGTGCAAATCGTGGAGTCATGGAATGGCTTGGATTGAAGGGGACCTTAAAGATCACCCCCCTGCTGTGAGCTGGTTACCTCCACCAGATCAAGCTGCTCAAGGCTCCATCCCACCTCCAGGAATGGGGTAACCCCCTCTGCTCCACACACAGCACAAGGGACCCCAGCAGCCCCCCCCTGCATGCTGCCCTGCCTGAAGCACAGCACCAAAGCACTGCACAGGGTAACCCTCAGCACCTCCTGCCCCAAATCCCACCACAGACTGGGCTGGCTGCTCAGCACTGCATCCCCTGCACAGTTGGACCCAATTCCATGCAATGTTTTGGATGCAGTGTTTCCTCTCAGCTTTTCAAGGCAGTGGCAGAGCGGGTGCAAGGTCCCCAGGGCACAGCCCTGCAGTGCTGGGACTTCAGCTGCCTCCCAGACCATGGCAATAGCAGCAGAGGAAGCCCCAGGCTGGCAGCCACCTGTCTGCATCACACTGCTGTCACCTACCACTGTCACACTTGCATATCCTTCACTCATCCCTACCTCTACCAAGAGACAACACTCGCTTAAAAATAGGCTTTGAAAAGCTAAAGATAGCCAAGAAATGAGCATGGGAACACCTCCTCACCCTTCCTGCAGAACTGCTCCTGCTCAGCTCCACCTCATCCAGTGCTGCTGGTAAGTCCTTATCCCAAAGTGCTGCTCAGGATCTCCCTGTCCTCAGCATCCACTGAGCCACATCCATCCTTGGGAAGAGCGACGTCCTCCCTGCCAGCAGGCAGCCTCACAACCATGTCCTGTCCCTGCTTTCCAAGGTGACCATGGAGGGCTGGCAGCCTGCAGACTGAGGGCCCTCCTGTGGTTCTACAGAGCCGAGTTGACAGAGCCCATGGGGGCAGGAGGCTCAGCCTGCAGCCACCAGAGACGGGGATGGGGATGGAGATGGGCAAGGAGACATGGATGAAGACCGGGAGAGGGATGGGGACAAGGATGGGATTGGGGACGTTATATGACATGGCACCAAGCTCTGTGCTGAGACCCTCCCCTATTTTCACAGCGGCTGACAAAGATCCACTCAAGATAAGGACGTTGGGTTGCTGCCTACCCTGGCTGCAGGAATGGCTGGGAGCCACATGGCAGCACCGTGCAGCCAGCCTGGCACTCACTGACATTCTGCTCATTGCTCTGCTTACGTACAGAAGCGATCACTCCTTGTTATCCTGATACTTAGCTCAGAGCAAACACCAAGAGTGGTAAAAGCCCCCGGATAAGAGTTCTGTATCTCTGTGACACTGCTGGTTGAATTTATTAATATCTCAATTTTTACATGAATTTAAGAAATATTTTTTTAAAAAAAAAAGAAAAAAGGACAAACCCTCCAAAGAAGCTGTTTGATTGACTGATCTCTATTTCAGGTGAACTAGCTGCTATTCTGCTGAGAGGTCTCTACGACCTGTGACTCCCCACAAGCACCGAACGATTAAGGATGCAGACAGAGAAGCGTGTTGCTGGGGGGACAAACACCAGGGGGTGGGGGGGGAGGGATGGAGAACCAAACGCTGCATCTAGACAAACAAAATAAAACGTGTCGGTCGGTCGGATTGTTGACAGGAATCAGGTGCTAGATGTGTAGAAAAGCCCTTTATCCAGAGATCTCCTCCCGCTGTTCCTTGTTCCTGCGGACTTCAGCTGCGTGCAGCTCCTGCAAAAACAGGAGAGAGGACACGAGGTGGTCAGTCCTAAAGGCAAGCCGAGGGCTGTGGGTGAGCAATGAGAGCTACAGGCTAACAGTGTCTGCTCCTGCCTGCTCTGTTTTCCTCCTGTCCCGCATACATGATTTGTACCCTGAGGACAGGGGGATACGCCTGCAAGAAGCAAAGCATTGCAGGGCAGAAGTGGAGCAATACCAACCTGCTGCAGCCCTGCAGATGAGGGAATGGCATGGAGCTGTGCCAGGGGAAGGTCAGGCTGGGTGTTAGGAAAGGGTTCTTCAGCAGAGGGGAGCTGGGCACAGAACAGGTTTCCCAGGGCAGTGGTCATAGAATCATTTGAGTTGGAAGGGACACTTAATGGCCATCTAGCCCACCTCCCCTGCAATGGGCAGGGACGCCCACAGCTCAAACAGACACTTGGAGCCCCAGCCAGCCTGAACTTCATGAACATTTCCAGGGATGGGGCATCCACCACTTTGCACACGACACAAGTTCAAGAAGCGCTTGGACAACACGGCCATCAGAATGCCTCAGAAACACGGTTGCAATGTTGGGAGGTCCTGAGTGAAACCATAAGCAGGACTCCACGACCCCTTTGGGTTCCCTCCTACTCACGATATCTATGACCCTACGACCCCATGACCTCCCCAGACCCCCCAGCACCCCACACACTCACCTTCTCACGCAGCCGCTCCCTCAGGGCAGCCAGGTGCGCCTCGCGGATCTCCCGGCTCAGCTCCATCTTGTAGTTGAGCTTCTCCTCAGCCAGGCGGCTGAAATTGTTGTTCTCCTCCAGTGCCTTGTGCAGCACCTCCCGCTCGTGCTCCCGTTTCTCCGCCAGCTGCTTCAGCACTTGTGCCTCCTGGGTCTGGTGAGGCAATGGGATAGCATCCCTCAGCCTTGCTCCGGACCCCACAGAGCTTTGCTGACCTCCTCCCTCCAGAAGGCGTTCACAGTGATGTGGGAAATAGCACAGGCAGCTGTTATAACAGCAAGGCTTGAGGCTGATCTGGCTTTGTGACCAGCTGTCACATCCGCATCAGCTGCTAAGAACTCCCCATGGCATGGCCATGCACGTGGGATCAGACAGGGCTCCATACAGCTGTGCAGTTCTAGGAACAGAGGACAATTATGGCCACCACATCCAATTTCCTGCCTAAACCAGGTTGCAGAACTGCATCCTCTCCATGTCTCACCTGACTATAGCTCAATAATACCTAAGAACACCATCAGCAGTCACTTTTGATTTTAGATTGCTCCTGATCAGCCATTTTTTTAGGGTTTGGGGCAATGTACCACTACCACTGCTGCTTCAGGACATCGCGTTACCTTCCTCCTCTCCTCTGCAGCCTCCAGCCTCCTCTGCAGCTCCTCCAGGGACAGGTCCTTCTTCTTGGGGGGAGAGGAAAGGATGGGGCTCTCAGGAGACAAATCTGAAGGAGACTTCAGGATCACCTCGAAGCTCTGGCCCGATGCCCTCTTATCCAGCTGCTTCACCTCCATATCTAGGGGGGAAAAAAACAAACGAGCTCTGTGTACCTGTGACACTCAGGAGAGCCTTCACCTGAGGGCACCACTGAGCTCTCCAGACAGGAGCAATCACATTAGTTCCATGTCTTGACCTGGATAATTTTGTTCTACTTCCAGAATTTCTTGATTAGTCATCAGCTTCATCCCCTCTAAGTCAACTCAATTCATTTAAGTTACAGCACAATTACAGAAAGTCCATACTGCTGTTAACAAAGTGCATGTCACTCCAGTAGGAACTAGACAGCCTCTGGGATCAGATCCTTCAGGGAAAATGTGAGTCACGTCTATGCAGAATAAACTGGAGAAGGAGGCTTAGCAGAAGGACCCTGGGCTGAGATGGGGATTTCTGCCCCAGGATGAGAGTGCCCACATTGGGAGCAAAGTGTCAGCCACAGCATTTGTCAACGGCTCTGCAGCTTCTGTTGGAGCAAGTTACATACCTCCATACTGGTAGATGGTGTTGGGATGTGGCTGGGTGTGGAAACAGGAGCAGATGAGGGAGAGCAGAGATAGCTCCTTCATTTTCTCCTTGTAGGCTGAAAAAGAGAAAACAGCAATGATGAGTCTGATGGCAATAGCAGCTCCTTTTCATGGAGAAATGAAGCAAGTAGGCCCAGGGAAAACCATTCACAGCTGCCAGCTTCTGTGGAAGATTTCCAGGCAGTTATGGGTTTTCCAAGTGTCCCCAAGGAGTACCAGAGAAAACTAAATTATCAGCCAGTGTAGCGAATGTCATAGGAAGATACACATTAGGATTTTACCATCTGCAGAGGTGTAAGAAAATTTTCCCTTTAGGAGTAGACACGCTTCTGCCCTTGTAGTGAACTACAAAGTGATGGCTGCCCAAACACTTTCTCCATCACAGTTCCAGACTCAGAAGCCCACTGACAGCTTGCAAAATTTCTCAACCCTCAGCAACTTACTGACATCAGGGTCAAGAGAAAAGCTGCAATCAGTTGTGTGGAGAATTTCCAACTTTCCAGTGTCCCTCCTTCACCGCAGGAGCAGGCAGGGGATGGCACAGGTGGGTTCATGTAGACAGAGGTTGATAACGGACTGCAATCACAGCAAATGTTGTCCCCATGGCATTCTTCAAAGGATGGGGAAATGCACGATCCCTTCAAGTTCTGTCACTATGACCCCTCACGTTTGCTCAGCTGGAGGATGCACCACTGCACCCTCACAAGTGCACGTGCTGCTGCCCTAACAACAGCAGTGCACACAGCTTCTCCTCTGCTTTCCCTTAGCTATTCAGGTGGGGAAAAAAGTGGGTCTATTAGCATACTTCACATCAGCACTTATTTGTCCTCCCAACTACAAAACATCATCCTATTTAACACGCTCCTTTGGCTAACCAACATTCCCTTCAGCTCTGTAGCAGGGATCTGTATTGAACTTTTCCCAGTTCATGCCACACGCTGATTTTAATGCCCTGTTTGGTTCTTCTATTAAATGCATGCCGGATATGAATAGTTTACATCAGCAATCCAAGCAGGATATCTTTGATTTTGTTCTTAATGAAAAAGACTTTGGAAAGCAGCATTGTGCTAGAAGAGTGGCACGCATCAGTTAAGCTACTATATCTCATAATGTGCTGCCAAGAGCCCAGAGGAGGCTCTCTGGACCCAATGAGAGACGTTATCACTAAACAGAGGGCACTAAGATCCTTGCTTTACCATTATGCCTCATCCTGTGTGAAACCAAGATATTAAGCAGATACGCCACATTGCTGACCCACCAGTTTAACTCCTAGCACTTATTATAAAGCACAATGCTTTATACGTCATTACTTGAACTTCAGTAGCTCCCCAGTTCTGATTTTGTGGTTCTCTGTGTAGATGAGCGTCTGCTGCAGCCCTGCGTTTCAGGAGACCTATTGTAGTGATTTCACTTCTTAGCAGCTGCCTTCATTCCACTGGGATCTTCCCTGTCCTGCTTCCCTTCTGTAGCACAAACTGACCGTCCCTCTCTGTCAATTAAAATGAAGAGGAGAGAAGAGGACAAAAGGACATCGCTCCACTGAGCTGTGGCAGCTCTTTAATGAGCCCTGGAAGTGGTCTGCGTCCTTCTCCCGGAGCTGGAGCCAGCAGCTGCACCCCGGCGCCAGCCGTCAGATGCAATTAGCAGCGTGCGGGCACAAGGGCCGAAGGAGAAAGGCTGAGAGCTGCCAGCCCCAGAGACCGGCGTGCTGCGGGGCAAAGAGACAAAAAGCCCCACCATTAGGGCAGCCCTCGCTACCAGGCAAATCCACGGCAACCGCACAGTTTGGTCCGGGGAAAAACAACGGGAAAGGCGGCAGTGGGGCGGGAATCCCCCCGGCCCAGCCCCGGACAGAACACGGCCCGCGCGGAGCTGTCCCTTCAGCACCACCGCCCCCATCCCCGCGATCCCCCGCGCGGAGCTGTCCCTTCAGCACCACCCCGGGCAGCGCCAAGGCCGGGAGTTCTACGCGAAAAAGGGGAAATACAGACCCATGGGAGAACCATCGCAATGACCTCATCCCCAGGTCGTTTTTAGAAAATAGGTGTTACATGTGTCCAACACGCTGTCAGTAGGCTAAGCTAAGAAAATAAATTCAGTGAGCAGAGGGAGATCCTGGTTCTATGCAGTTCGGCTTGATTTGGCATTGTAAATGAGATGGGAAGCTGAATTCAGGTGGGGATTTTGCTGACGTAGGGTTTGGACATCAATCTGTTCACTGCTACTCACCTCTTTATCTTGAGGGTTGTCCAACCCTCTCAGAACAGAAGATAGTCTAAGGTCTCCGAGGGCAAGTTATTTTTCTATCTTGGCATTTAATTATTTATTGGTGTAGATTGAAACTTACCAGGCTGGACCATTAAATTTCTTTCACAATTGCTCACACATAAACGTGACTGCAATTAATCAAAACCAAACCGAACATTTACAAACAGATACTGCAGCCAGGGGAGCAGTCACAGCTGTCACTCAGGGCATTTGTACAGACTCACAATGTCAGGCCACCAAGGCAATCATTCCTCTGGAAATGATCTCAAACTCAGTGTCAGGGTTTTTTTTCCAATATATTTTTGAATGATCCCTTGAGAGTGCTCCATTTTGCTCAGCTGGGGAAGATTTATAACACTTCAAATAAAAGTAGGGAACATAACCACTGAGTGACTGTTTAAGAAACTGTGTCAAAGGAGATTAAATCCAAGGTCTCCTGAAGCAAGACTTTCAATTTCAGTTGCATCAAAAAGAGAATGCTTAAAGCTCCCAGGGCAAAAGACCACTACTGGAAACCTTGCACGCATCAACTTACCTCAGGAGTGCCTGCACTCATATTTACCAATAGATGTAAAGTTCTGAGGACATACTTGTGTCAGGGGGAATCATTCCTGAAGCAAGACAAGACAGCTGGTTGGCCAGAGAATTACATGCAATGAGCTGCTGCCAGGAAAGATCATGTGCCTTCCAGTGCACAGATTTACATATTTCAATAACATTTAGACTGGAAAAGCTGGACTTGTTATTTAAGCATCCTGTAAGGTGGAGTAAACTTTATTTTTTTTTTCATGAGACCCCAGGTAGCCATTAAATGACAATACTATCTAAAAAGGAGCAATACTTCTGAATATTTATGCCCAGTAACAAGCACCATCTGATTCTGCTCTATTTCAATGCCACTGCACACAACATTCAAGAATTAATCTTAATTAAAACGTTTCATCCAACTTTTCCCTGCACTGTCTATATTGCACGAGTCAGACTACTTCCTCCCTGTCGCAAGGAGAGCAAGGCAGATTCCAAAGCCTCTACCAACCTGTCAAGAAATGAACATGCTCTCAGCTTCCTTCCTCTCCAGTGACCCATTTCCTGTGCTCCCTCTAGTGCTGTGCAGTACATAATGCATCCTCATATTCCAGCTGCTTCCCGCCAGCGCTACACACAGCATCTGTTCATGTGAAGTGTTTATTTTCAAGTTAAGCCCCAGGGACACCATCCAGTTACTCCCCGAGTGGCTGTGGAGCAGGAAACAGAGAAGTGGCTGGGGATGGGCACAGGGCATGAGCAACATGAACCGTCTCCCACTGGTGATGTGCTCGGACCATGGGGTTCCCATTTCCAACACAATATTGTTCAAAAATTCTGGTTCTTCACTTCTTGACCAGATGAAAGGAAGCTGAAAGCTGTCTGATTAGCCTGCCTTTTGTTAGATGTTTAATGATGTCCAGCAAAATAGAACAGGGCTGGTAAGGCACAACATCAGTACAGTGTAAGTCATAATGAACCAGAGGCACATTAAGAATATTTGTGTGAATTCGGAGAATTAAAATGGATGAGATTGAATGTGCCATATTTGGTAGTAAGGTCAAAAGAAGGTTATTAGAAGAAAATTACTTGTTTTGCAAATATAACTTTGGAAAAGTAAAAAACTGTGTCTGTGAAGAATATTGTACTGCAGTAAGAAGAGAATGGTCCAATTGTAAAAGTAGCCAAAATACGAACAGAAGGCAAAGAAAAATCAGTGATCCGGGTCTTTCAGAATAAAGAATGCTATGCCACATGCACAACAAAAGCAACCACAACCTTTGATAAGCTTTGAGAATACAACAGGATGGAGATACTCTCACTGCCATCAAGCTGACGGCAAGGCCTTTGCCTCAGTCCAACTCACTTCCTTCTTCTTGCTCCACCATATCCCAAACCAGAGCAGCACGAGAGCTCACACAGCCAAAAGAGGAAGGGCAACCAGTGAAAGCAGTGGGATCCTGAGGAACGAGACTGATGCATCTCCATTTCTATAGAGACCCAAAAGGTGCAGTGGGTGCAGGTGGAATCGCTCATGAGGACAGACATGAAGATCATCTGCCTGCTGTCGGACATCTGCTGAGCCATCCCCAGAAGTGGTTTCCTATTACCTGCCTCATTCCCTCCCAGGTTTCATTTGCAACTATTGTACGCAACATCAACCCGCATTACGCACAGCCAATAGATGAGCAAATCACTCACTCTCCAATGCTGAACACGTGGAGTGTTTTGCAGGAAAATAATCAGGGAGATTTCCCCTTCTCCTGGCTGAGCAAGGGAGAAGGGTCTGAGTAGGGCAGCAGAGAGCCAGGAGCCTGAGTGTGTTAGTGAATGGTCACCAGGAAGTAGAAAAGCATGGACTGGGTTGCTTGCTAAAGCAGTTGAAGGAGCCAAAATGGAGGCAGCTGTCCCAGAGTGCAGGTTTGGGGCAAATGTAGTCATGGTTGGATAAAACAAAGAAAAGCTGCTTTCAAATAGCTTGGAATAGGATGAGCTGTTCATGGGACAAAGTGAGGAGCTCCATGTCACGCTGAGCCACAGGCAGCTGTTTGGTCCCTTTGGATTCTGGTTTCCTTTACCTTAACTGGGGATTATTGTACTGGCACCTTGTACAGAGATATTATTTGTATAAACACTTCCAGAGAACACAAGATTCTGCAGTATGGCACTAAACATGTTGAGGTACTTCAAAAGAATAAAAGGGCTGTTAGAAAACATCCTGAGCCGCTCTTCACCAGCTGGGATGTGCAAAGTGCTACAGTGCACTCACATGGACCTTGGTTGCTCTCTAACTCTTTTGTATTTCTAAATCACAGCTGATGATATGAGCAGCAGTTCAGGTCCCTTCTGCATAGGAGAATTTTGAGATATCTGAGGGCAACCAACATGGTGCCACCAGTGAAGATATTTTAGAAAGAAAATGTATTACTTAAAGATTCAGATCCTCTGCTTGGAGACAACATTTAAAAAAAATTAATCAAAAAGAAATGCCTGCAAGAGGTTCTCTTGGCTTGCAAAACTGAAGTCCCAATAAAAGTACCATAAATATCTAAGACAGACCATATGCACTCAATCAACAATGGAGAGAGAAAATAGATAGGGATTTGTTGAGAGCGCTGTGATGGAGAGGCGTGGCAGAAAGAGCCCTGAATGTCACCAGTAGTAGAAATGAAGGTATGGAGCAATGCTGATTGGTGTCCATCAACACCATTCAGAACAGGGAGTAAGAGGGCAACCCATGCCCATGTCAGGCCATAGAACTCTGACGTTTCAGTGGAGATGGGAAAACTCCAGGATCCATGAATGCCAAGCAGCAGCTCCTCTCGGCTCCTCCTTCTCAGACACCAGCATCCAAGAAAAGCCCGTGGGGCTCCCACCTTACTGCATCATTTCATAATCTCTATGTAGGGAGCTGGTGCTTCCAGCTTCTGCTCAGCCCAGACACCTACGCACGATGGGAACCACTCCAGCCTTGTAGAGCCCCACAGGATCCCATGAGGAGCTGCAGGAAGCATGAAGCTTTGTCCAGCTGCTGCAGGAGGGTGTGTGGGGCTCCGGCCCTGCAGCACTGCAGCTGAACCTGCACTGAGCATGTGCTGCTGCTCCCTCAGCTTCTGCACTAGCAGGCACAATCCTGGCCAGCAAAAAATGAAGGTGGAAAGCAGTGCTGAGTGCTGGGCTGGGGGGAAGCGAGCCCTGTTTCTTATCATTCCAGCAATTTGTTTGAACAAACCCAAGAAAATCTTCCCAAGGGGGAATCAGCCCCTGGGCACCAGCTGCAGACAATTGCAGCTGCTCTCCCTGCAGCGTGGATTAGCTTTGGCTGGGGATAATGAAGAGAGAAAACAAGATTTTTTTTCCCCTTATTTTAAGGAACAGCTTGCCTTTTTTTCTCCACTTTTCCAGGCTGTTCCTGCTATGGAGACAGCAGCTGGTGGGAAGCTGCTCACTGCAATGCTGGGCGAGGCTCAGCCATGCTCTCCTCCTGCCACAGCCCTGCCTTTCAACCCCCTGACATCACTTCTGTGCTTGCAGAGAGCTACAAAAAGCACGGTTTTGTGAAGCACACACTTCTGCACAATCCAAAGTCTGCCCTGGCAGTAAAGCTGCATCTTCCAGCAGGTGAAATGTGGCACGGGCATGGGGCTGGGAAAGCAAGAATGCACCAAATGGGGGATGCATCCAGCACCTTCCCTGTGCTGAGTTTGCTGCGCCCTTGGTGTCATGGCCAAGCAGTCTGCTGTGTCCCCCTAAGTGGCTCCATGTCCTCTTCCCAGCTGCAAACATCCCCAGCCCCATCATAGGGTGGGAACAGCTGGGGGGCACCTCCCAGCACGCCCTGACACAGGAGCACTTGCACGAATGCATGGAATGGCTGAAGATTTCCGACCACTCGGACACCTTTTGACGTGCTGCTTCCCCACATACAGCTGCATGCAAAGCCCACCGCACCTCACCCACTCCACAAAACCTCCCATCTTTCCATCCCTTTTAAAAGGAGAAAAGAACAGAGAATGCTTAGAAGGACCCAGCAAAGGGCAGGGGAAGAGGCAGGGGTGCTGCCTGCTGCCTTCTGCCTGCTTCTCTGCCACAGAGGGGGCACAAAGCACTCCCCACATTTCCTTTTTGTCTTCCCTTCCTATTCAGTCCCACACCCCAGCCCTGCATGGTTCAGCTTCACCCACCCAAGCCCCTCTTTATGCACTGTGTTTTCTCCAGAAACTTCTATGTATTTTTTTTTTAAGGGAAAAGAGAAAGACCCTCTGAACACACCCACTGTCCGCTGTATCAATGCAGGATTTTCTCCTCTGCCCAACCTCCAGCCATTTCAATTCCTGCTCTCCGGCTCAAAGGGACGAGGATCATTTTTAGGGGGAGCAGAGCCCACCCAGAGCCCCAGCGCTGCTGCAGGAGGAGGGAGGGAGGGAGGGGGGCTGCCCTGCAGCACTGCTTCACCAGCGCCATCAGAGGACCGCTCCCCTGGAGCATCTCCTGATGAAAGAAACACAGGGTGGGGAGCTGGGAGATCGCACAGCAGCGCACCCAGGTTGGGTTTAGGCATTTCTTTTTTTAAAGGGATTTTTAATTCTCCACATCTTTCTTTCCAATATCCATTTAACCAATATCCATTTAACCAATCTTCACACAACCGAATTGTAGGGAAACGCCATTTGGCATTTCTCTGCATCCAGCTACACCCCATGCACGTTTATTAAAGGGAATAAAAAGAAAGCTGCATCACACTGCAGAAATAGCTGTGAATTGGCAAGCAGCGCCGTCGGATGGTGCAACATAGCAGCAGCCATAGCATAAATAGGCACATTTATCACGGGTGGATCGCTATTAAAATCCAAGGAGCACCCACTGCCTCGCACCAGGGGGTGTGTGCTGGGCGGTGGGGAACAATGCATCCAAAGCAGCACAGGCGAAGGGAAAAAAAAAACAATCAATAATCCAAAAACCTCCATATATATACGTATATATGTATATAAAGAGAAGAAGGGTAACGAGCAGCCCTACCTGAGACGGTGCTGGCCATGCTGCCGGGTGCGGGGAGGCGAGGTCGGAGCGGAGCGCCCGCAGAGCGGGGATGGAGCGGAGGGACGGGCGGGTCCGCGGCGGCGGCAATGAGCGGCTCCGGCTCCTCCGGGCGGCTTTGACGGCGGTCCCTCCCCGTCCGCCCGCTGCCAGAACTGCGGAGCCGGGAGGAGGGGGGTGATGGGGAGGGGGGGCGATGTGGGTGGGTGGGGGGCAGACACACCCAGCTCCGGCAAAAGATGGCCTTCTCCCCTGCCTGCCTTTCTTGTCTGCTGCTCTGCTTCCCTTTTATCCGTTGAAAGCAAAACCGAGCAATTTCTTTCTTTTTTTAATTCTCTTTGTTATCTTTATTACTTGCATCTTTTCTCATTTCCTTTCGTTTCATCTCATTCCATTCGTTTCATATATATGTATTTTAATGAAATGGATGGAGAGGATCTGAGCTCTGCTAATGAGGAGGATGGAGCTCCCAGCCGGAGCCCAAACCCTGCCGCATTCTCAGCCAAATAGGCAGGAAGGTGGGGGGTTCCTGATGGGCTCAGTGCTTTTAGGCACAGTTTGTGCACCAGGGCACCAAAGGGGCTGCAGTTAGGGGTGAAAGTGTTGTAAAAGTAGATGCAGAAGAGCAGAACAGAGCCTTTGGAATCCAGTGGAACTCTGCTGTCTCCATATACGCGTGCATTCATTATTATTATTTCTCAGGCATCGGGACATCTTTTCTTCTTCTTCCTTTTCCATTTTCCACCATTTCTCCCCTTTGTTTCTTCTCCTAGAGGCCAGCACATCTGTGTTTTTGCAGCACGTCCCCCAGCCACGCTCAGGACCACAGAAGCACCACATTTTCCCTCAGCTGGGCTTTGCACAGAGCCCTGCAGCCCCCTGCACAGCCCCCGGCTGCAGCCCCCCCAGTGCACTGCAATGCAGGCACTCCCAAGCCCCCCCCAGCAGCTGCAGGGATCCATGGGCTGCTCACGTTGCTGCAACAGAGATGGGAGCTACATGCAATGCCTGCTGAATGCACTGAAAGACTCAAAGCCCTTTCTTCCTATCCTTTCCCCCAGCCTCCGAGCACCCCATCCCCTCAACACTGCACATCAAATGCAAAGATTTATCACAGAAACAAAAACCTTCAGTCTAATTCAGGATAATATTGGCATTATCCACAATTTTTCCACTCTGTGTTTGGAGCAGGATTTATTTATTTTTTTTAAATCCCAAGTGGACAATTAACTGCTACCTGCATCCATTCGAGGCTTATTTCCCAGCTGTAAATCCCCTGCTTTTTCCTTCGGCTGAATTTCTATGACTTTACAGGTCATCCTGAGGGCTGCAGGCTGAAGTTTCCTATGGTTCATGAGTTCATTTCCCCATTAGCAGGTAAAGACAGCTATCCCAAGCTCACCAAGACTGGAATTCTCCCACTCCATTCAGCATCAGCTCTGGCTTTGATTCACCCAGGAGGTCAAACAGGGTCTGCCTATCCCTTGCAATGTTCTGAAGCTTCCTGACATCAATTGCATGAGTTTTCTTCCTTTCATTTAGAAAAAGGCACAGAACACTTCCAAGGCACATGTCCCATTGGAGCAAGTGGTTATGCCACACAGCATACACTTCAGCTCCAGTACTGATGGCACCTCCGAGATGACCTGACACATCAATTCAATATAATTAATGCTGGATCCATCTCTTACACTGGGTGATCGTTCTTCCTTATTTTAAATGTCTTTACAAGTTCTATTTTTCCATGGTGCTGCAATACAGGGCAATAACACATTGCCTGGCAATAGCATGAGACCTACCTGTCCTGTTTGCAGTCTCAAGCTGGGAGAAGCTGTCTCAGTTGGCATGAAATAATAAATGTTCCACACTGGGCAGCCATCAGCCCCTTGCAATTGTTAACTAATACAAGAAATCCACGACAACATCAGCATTAAATCAAGAAAATGTTTCCTTGAAGGCAAGGAAACAACGGGGTTATTCTGTTTCCTCTTCATAACCACTGTGCACTTGAGAAATGAGGCCACGTCGTACAGAGGGACGGGGTCGGGGACAAGGGTTGTGCTACTTCAGTCACGTAAAGGTGCAAAGCAAGCTGCGGATTCAGGTCACCCCTGGGTGCTCAGCTGCAACTGCAGCACACATACAGAAGTTAGCAGTACAAAGCTGGAGGGCTGAGCACCCACAGATGAGAAAGGGCAAATTTGGAGCATGTGAAGATGCAAGCTCTGGTCCTGGATTGCTGTACAGCTTCCACCAAAGCATTAATCCCATCTGCTTCAGCTTCTTCATCTGTAAAATGGGTGTTCGCTTATTTTTCTAATGACAGAATGACTGTGTGAAAAGTCTGAGTGTGTCAAGGAGGAAAGCTGTTGTTCTTCTGTTACCCAACAGGGAAAAGACATCAAGGCTCTGGGTTACCTGGATTCAAAAGAACCAAACAATTATGTGGCCAAACAAAAGTTTCAGATGGTTGCTATGGGAGCCATCACACATGCTCAGAAGGACAATGAATGGCAACCTAATCATCTCCTGTATGAAAGGAGAAAAATATCCTTCCTACAAACAGCAGCAATTTCACAGGCAGTTGATGCTGCTCTTTGAAGCCTCCTCCCATTCCTCAAGATTCTCACTTGACTGGGAAGAGAAATCCCACATAGGTGGCCTGTGAGCAAAACTACAGGTGGTGCACCTCGTACTTCTGCTCTGCACAAGCCTTCTGCTGGCACGAGGCCCTGCAGTCCCCTTCAGTCGCCCTCACACCCCCTTCCCTGTGAAGTTTGAGAATCGTCTTTTTTAAGGTTTCTCCTTTGTGTTTTTCTCCCCTCGAAGGCACCGCTTCAAACGAAAAATGGTTCATCCAAAAATCAACACCCACCGACCCGAGCGCGCAGTGAGGAAAACTCAGCTGGCTGCACGTCTTCCTGTCTTGGTTTATCATCTAATGAGTGTTAGATAGGGACTGGGCCACCAAGTAACCATGCTGATCTGTTTTGCTCTTCAAAACCTTCCTATCCTCTCTCTTTCTCCCTCTTCAAAGTTTTGCCTTGAAAGAACGGAGGGAGCCGGGAACCAGAAGGAAAGTCCAGGCATAAGACAAATTCTTGTGCTTATTGTGTTTGTGTCACAACATAAAACAGATGTCCCAGCTTCAGTGAACCCCCACAATTCTTCAGCAACTTTCACGAGAAACAAATCCCTCCATTGAGAGATTTTGCTCTCTGATTTTAGAATACTCAGGTGCAGCAATGAGAGGCTCGCCAACGCTGGCACTGCAGAGTTGGTCAAGCAAGGTAAATGGTGCAGAGACCCAATCCTCCAGAAGGATAAGGAGCTCTCAGCCAGTGCTGACTCACACGGCCCGGACAACAGCGCTGCTGACTCACACTCCTTTTTTGGGTTTGGTAGCCTTCCAGCTCTTCTCTAAAAGTAACATTGCTTCAATCAACACTACCTAAATAACCCTAAAAATAGTCTGATTTGATATAGTGCTGCTGTTATACTTCTTCGGTGTAGGAAAGTTATAATGACAGAAAATTCCACGTATTTGTGATCATTTTTAAACCTTTATTCTCCATTATAAACTTACTGCTCGCTCTCACGGTGTTCCAGTTTTAATAAGTCATTTCTTTTGCAGCACACTCTTGCACGATGAATATCGAGTTAGAGCTCTCTGGCACACTCAGAAACAGGTGTAAAATAAATTGTTACATTTTGTGTGGAGCACCACAAAGCACAGAAGGAATAACTCAAATCTCTCCAGCCCATTAGCTGCAGTTAAAGACAGTTTACAAGCCAGGCAAGTTCAGCTCAAGGAGTTTGAAGACTGGCAAGCAAAATAGCCACAGAAGTAAACTCCCCTAGCTGAACACAGAATATACCAGAAGTTTCAGATCAGGTTATACAACAGACTCACATTTAACGTCTGTTAAGTATTTGAACACCCCTACATACAAACGTTACCCCTTGCAGTCTGCTGGGAGATATTTGACAAGATACAGTAAATTAAGCCACATCCTGTTCTGCATCTTCGCAGCAACTGTCTAACAGCGTGGGATGCTGCAACAATGCAGGGAGATGCATCTGAAACATTTTTTTCCTACTTTCCTCCTCATGTAAGCACTTAAAATACAGCTCAGTGAAACTTGGGGATCCAGGTAAACCACACCTGCCCATTTATTACAAGAGTTGCACAGTTTGCTGGATTCTTACACACGGAGATCCCAGCTCAGGGCTGGTTGTGGCACATGAGGTTTGAGGGGCTGCAGCCTCCAGGCAGCTCCTGGCCACTTGCACCAGCGACAGGAGACTGAAGGCAGGCAGAAGGGAAGCAAAAGGAGAACAAAGGAGCAGCACGTTCACCCTTAGCAGGACACCTGCCAAAATTCACTACTGTTCTTACTGCAGAAGCCAAGAGGCCCAACAAAATGAAAGAGACAATTCCTTTATCTACGGGGCAGGCTGACTCCACAGCAAACCCTGTGCTACGTGGCTGGTCTGTGCAGGGTGCCAGATGTGCAGGGCAAAAAGCAGCCCCAGAGAGAAACCTCAGCCATCCCCATCACGCTGAGCCCATAACAAGGCGAGGAGCTGCTCCAGCCACTACCGACACACTGGAGGGGCACAGCCCAGGGGGCACAGGCTGAGAGAAGTGGCTTCTTGGCCCCTTTTAGCGACCAACCTGCTGTCTCCCAGGGCCTGAACCGCACGGTGGCTGAGCAGGGAGGAGGAGCCCATCTCAGGCTCAGGCCCTGCTGCCCTTGAGGACCAAACCACCATTAGGGCTCGGCTCCTCCCAGCACGCGGCTCCCAGGACCTCCACAACAGATCACAGGAGACGCACAGAACCTCCAGCCCCACTCGCTCGCCCCTGGTTCAGCCGGGACTCAACGCGGCCTGCTCAGAGCCCCGCCGCGGCCTACACAGGCCTCGTTTCCTGGGCAACGCCGGAAGTCTCGCGAGAGCGTGCGCCGGAAGTTACGCCAAGCGAGTGGGGCGGGGTGGGCGCGTGACACGGAGCGGGGATTCCGAACGGCGGAGCGGAAGGTGTGGGGGGGGGGGGGAGCGTCACTGCGAGCGGGGCCCGGACAGGAGGGGGGGCGGGTTGGGACGGCCTTGAACCGGCTTTGAACGGCCTTGAACCGGCTTTGAACGGCCTTTCCACGTCGGTCTCCGGGTTCTTACCGACTGCTAACGGCGCGCTCCGTTGCAGGGATCGGTCGGCAGCGATGCCCAGGATCACGCTGAGGGGCGTGACGGTGGATTTCCCTTTCCAGCCCTACGAGTGCCAGGAGACGTACATGGCCAAAGTGCTCGAGTGTCTGCAGACGGTGAGACCGCCGAGCGCAGCCCCGCCGTGCCCGCCGCCCGCGTCCCCGTGCCGCATCCCCACGGCTCCAGGGATGGTGAACCCCCGCCCCCTGTTGCGATAGGAAATGGTTCCTAATGCCCAACCTCACCCTCCCCTGGTGCGCCGTGAGGCCATCGCCTCTCATCCTGTTGTGTTATCTGGGAGCAGAGGCTTTTTAGATGAGATGTTGTGCGTTGTGGTTCCTCTTACTCTGGGCTTTAGACTGAGCACGCTAAGTTGGTTAGAGGGTCCTCCAGGTCGTGCTTTCAGAATCATAGAATCACAAGGTTGGAAACGACCTGCAAGACCATCTGGTCCAACCACCCTCCCGTTAGCACTGCTACCACAAGCACTAAACCAAATCTCCTAGCTCCTCATCCAGACACCTCTTGAAAATGCCAGGGATGGTGACTCCACCACCTCCCTGCGCAGCCATTCCAGTGCCTGACCGCTCTCTGAGAGAAAAAGGTCTTCCTTATGTCTAACCTAAACCTCTGGTACAACTTGTGGTCATTTCCTCGGGTCCTGTTTGTTGCCTGGGAGAAGAGGCTGAACCCCTCCTCATCACAACCTCCCTTCAGGAAGTTGTAGAGAGCAATGAGGTCTCCTCTGAGCTTCCTCTTCTCCAGACTAAACAATCCCAGCTTATAAACTTCTATATTGATACATATTTTTCTGTTGTATGAGAAAGCACAACTATGCAGTTATTCTAGCTGAACCTCTAAATTACTCGTTTTTCCCTTATTCCTTTTATTTCTCTTCAATAAAGAAAGTAAACGGCATTCTAGAGAGCCCTACAGGAACAGGGAAGACCCTATGCCTGCTCTGTTCCACTCTGGCCTGGAGGGAACATTTCAAAGATACCATCTCAGCCCGCAAAATTGCACAGCGTATGAATGGAGTCGAACTCTTCCCTGACAGACCCATGTCTTCCTGGGGCAATGCTGCCACGGATGGTGACATCCCAAGTGAGTTCTTTGTTTTTTATACTCAGTGGGAGTGATGCAGGAATGTTAATGAACACTTGCTTTTATTTATGTATTTTTAATTTTTTTTTTTAGAATATTAAAAGTGCTCTTAGCTTGTTTTTATGTGTGTGAGTACTTGTGTGACAAAATCTTGCTGTCTCTACAAGGCAAATCGCTGCCATAGCACCAGCTGGGAAAGGAAACTAATAATATCCCATGTTCTTGTTGTGCTAATAGTGGTTTTCTGCTCTTTTTTTCCCCTCTATTTGACAGCGTATTACACAGACATTCCTAAAATAATTTATGCATCCAGAACTCACTCTCAGCTTACGCAGGTCATTAACGAATTAAAGAACACAGTCTACAGGTAAATATGATTTAGGATGGTGCTCCTATTTAAAGAAAAGGTGGAGGAAAATACTGTTCTAGTTGCTGTCTGAATTTATGTCTGTATAAATGTATGAAGGTATAGAAAACTGATACTGAAATCTAGTTCTCTTAATGTGCATGTGCACAACCTGGAGTTCTTCACTGTTGTTTTTTTTTTTCCTTCACTTGTAGAATTTCCTGAATTCAGCCTGGTTTAGGTTCTTTATTTCACACATTTGCTTCTGAAATTCCTTGCTTTAGTTCTTGTCATAATCTTATTCATGTAAGAATGGCAGCTGCCTCTCGAGAAGCTTGCAGTAGGTGGCAGCCCCAGCTTATCTGGCTGATCTGTCATAACAAAACCCAGATTTTCTACAGCATGATGTAAGCTGCTACTCATTACCTCCCACTGTTCTTGGGAGAAGTGTAGTACTAGGAAGTGTATCTGTGGCTGCTGTAAACAGACTAACTCCTTGGTTATGATTCTGGCCTGTTTTTATGCTCATCTATTTCTCATGAACTTCTCGTTATTTGAGATATTAAGCCCCACATAGGTTTGTTCAACTGTGTTCTTTCTTGCTGTATTTTTAACACCAGGTTTGTATATTCTGTTTGACCAGGCCAAAGATATGTGTTTTGGGTTCCAGAGAGCAGCTTTGCATCAATCCTGAAGTGAAACGACAGGAGAGTAACCACATGCAGGTGAGAACAGAGCCTTGAAAATGTGTAACAAGAACATGCCAGGCTGTTCTTTATTTTGACATAAAATGTGTAGTTCTTAAGCTTGGCGTTGCTTTATCAGTGCTTTATCACTGGAGGCTGTAATGAAAGATACTCATTTTTTTCATGAGTTTTGTGGAACTTGCCATATCTATTTTAGTGCAAAATTTAATTTGGCATTTTTGGTAGCATTTTCCATTTGATTTGTTGTGATTGCACAGAAGATGAGGGGCGATTAATAGTTTGCAGTTTATTCAGGTCTGCACTTCAGTGTTTTTCAATGGCAACAACCATTTAAAAATAATGCTTCAATGGTTGCTTTACCTGTGATTTTTATGAGTGATGTCAAAGACTGTAGTAGTAAAATATAAGCAAATTTCCTTCAAACATGTGAGTTCTGTGCCACTCACACACACAGTGTAACCTCTGGGGAACAGAAGGATGCCTGATTTTAAAACTGGAGAACCCTGGCCTGTGTTTATTCATTAGGTGGCATTATGGATAGTGGATAGCTCTTGATCTCTTAGCTCACTTCACAGTGCTTGACAAGCTGTGCTAAAAAGGGCTTTATTTTGCAGATCTATATGTGCCGAAAGAAAGTGATGGCTCGTGCTTGTCACTTCTATAACAATGTGGAAGGTAAGTTTGGCTGTGGAAATAAAGCCCCATTTGTTGGAGTTGTCTGCTAGGCAGGTGGAGAAGTCTGAAAGAGCAGGCAGAGTCTCTGTGTGCATTTGCATGTGGTGTGCATATATGTGTGTGTGCTGTGCTCTGCATTCATGTTTTTTGAGACCAAGATGTTAAGAAGTGGATGAGTGTGATGAGCAGGGTAGCAGGAAGTCCTGGTGGGGCACCTTCACTTAAGCCTCTGGTTGTAATGTTATAACTGTTCACAGAGAAGTCTACAGAGAAAGGACTGATGGATTCAATCATGGATATTGAAGATTTGGTTAAAAATGGAAGCAAGCACAGGTAGGTGTTCTCTGATCTTACTCCTCCTTACCAGAATTTTAATTCTTGCTTGAGTAGAGGCTTCCAATGTCATATGATGGGACAAACATTGCAGTTTAGTTTCAGATTTAAGAGAATTATATGACTGATTTATTGAGATAAAGTAGCCTAGCCCAGCATTTACTTCTTGCCTATGGGTTTAAAAGTATAATGCAGCAAAGAGTAACACTCTTTCTCATTTGAATTCTTTTTTTCTTTGTTCAGCTGAGCTACGTGCATCGAGGGGGATATTTTCTACACTTTATTGCATGTGTTGCATGGATAGAGCTATTTGCCTGAAAATCAAGCACGTCAGTTCCAATTCATTAGGAAATTGACTAGAAGCCACTGAGAGCATGAAACACAGTACATGAATGATGAATGCACTCTTAATATTTCTGCAAGTATGACTTTATAACCTGTGCTACTTTTTTTTTTTAAACAGAGCTTGTCCTTATTATCTGTCTCGAAGCCTGAAGCAGCAGGCAGATATTATTTTTATGCCTTACAACTATTTATTGGATGCAAAGGTAGCAGATCTTTGTTTTTAAATACAATCTTATTTTTATTTCAGGTTGACTTTTAGTGGGTGAGCTGTTGAGAGCAGATGCACAGCAAGGAAGTGTCGTGTGTGCTGTGCTTCAGAAACAATCAAAGCTCGTTTCAAGTTCAGAGTCAGGGGATGCCCTTTTGTGGTTTTCTCTGTTTAGTTTTACTTTCCCACAGTTAACAAATATTTTCTGTGTTGTTTCCTTTGAGGTCTTGCTCAAATCAGCTTTGCAGAATATGATGTCTTTGTTGTCTGGTTATATTTACCTCCTGAAATGAAACCATCAGCAGCATACTTTGCAGTGGCTTTGCACGTGTTTTGTGAATCTTTTGTTTCTGCAGTGACCAGCATGGCTTGTAGGATGAACGTGAGCCTTTCCATAGAGATTGGACAGCTCTTGTACATAGCTGCTGGCTTTAGAAAAAGCTGCTGCAATACTTTGCTGAGGAAAGAGATCTGCTAACATCTTCTTGCAACCTGTTGTTATTCATGAATTGTAGTAGAAGCTGGATTAAGTTCCATTACTGCAAGAGGCAAAAAGACCAAATGCTTAATAAATCTGACCAAAACCTCTGACCACCTTAAGCAGGGAAGCATTGTGAAGTTTGGAGATATTTTGTTGCTGAGGATGTCCTCAGAGCATCAGCTCACAGCACAGATGTCACAAGAAGAGATTTGCTAAAATAAAACCAAAAAGCAAACAACACAAAAGTAGTCCACAAGCTAAATCTCCCTGGTTTACACCTCACTCCTCCCAAGTCCCTGTTGGCAAAAATGATGAGTGAGATTAATTCTGATAAACCTGTAAATCCCAGTATGGTAGAAATGTTTTCTTGAATACAATATCAGTTGTAATCTCCATAAGTGTTCCCTCATTCTCTTTCTCATCTCTAGAGCCGACGAGCTCACAACATAGAGCTGAAGGGGACTGTGATAATACTTGATGAAGCTCACAATGTGGTGGGTTGTTTCTGTTCTGTTGCCATTTCTCAAACATCATCCAAAACGAAATACAGACCAGTATCATATAACAAGCGATCTGTAAAGTCTGCACCCAACTGTGTCCTTTGTCACTGTTGTTTATCGTGGTCGTATGATCACTGATGGAATGTCTGTTAAGACCTAAAGAGATTTTGATGACTCTGATTTGCTGCCTGATGGATATGATACCATTTTTGATAATGCAAAAAAAAAAAAGGGGGTGGTGTTTAGCCAACATCTTCTGTGTTCCAGAAAAAAGAAGCCCAGTGTAAGTCAAAGTCTTAAGGTATTTGAAAATGTCCTCCAGCCTGAGCTTGGAGAACAGAAAGGAAGTCAAGTCTGCTCATCTACACGTTATCATCTGTGAAACCACCTGATCAAATAACACCTTGTACAGTCTAAATAATGCTTCTATCCCTTGATGTTTTAGGAAAGACTGTGTGAAGAGTCATCTTCTTTTGACCTGACAGCCTACGATTTGGCTTCAGCAATTGATGTTATAAATGTAGTACTGGAAGAACAAGCCAAAGTAGTTCAACAGAATGAAGTAAATGCTGAATTCAATATGGAGAGCATCAGTTCAGGTGTGTTGGCAACCACAAACTGCTGTTTTACTGGGAAATATAACTAGAAACTAAATCTCTAGGTAAGTGACTGGTAATTAATAATGTCAGACAAACACAAAGTCTTTGGCCAAACCAATGTAAAATGCCATGTGTATGGTAACTTGAGTCACAGCCTGAACCACTGATGGAGCACCTGGGGAAAGGACCTGGTCAGTCATGAGAGCACAGGTGAAGGCAATTCAGCTGTGAGACAGGCAGGGGTTGAGCCTGGCTGCATCTTAGGCCTCATTTAAGGGCTGGCTGCCCCTGGGGAAGGACCTGTGGTTGGAGATCCCTCCTTTTGTGGGATTTTCCCTGTGAGGCTGGTTTTTCTTAGCACTTTTTCTTAGTAGCACCTTTTCTTTGCACTAGGCCGTTTGTCATTACACTTCCTGTATCACTCTTCCATTGCATTGATCTTTCTGATTGTTACAGTCATGAAAGGGAGCAGCAAATGGAATACAGAAAATGTTTTTCTTATGTTCATAGTGCTAACTTCCACACTAATAGTTTCTGAGAAGGCTTGAAGAAACTGAATATGAAATGAAACAGATGTGAAACACACTCCTTAAAATCTTTCTTTGCTTCAATAGGGCTGAACATGGAACTTGAAGATATAGCGAAGATAAAGAGTAAGGTTCTTTTGATTTATTTTTTGTTTGTTTTGTTGTTACAAGTTGTTATTATAACTATTTCAAAAAGCTACTGGTCAGCATCTAGGTAATCAGATTCATCTGATGTTGTTGTTAACAACTGAGTCATTCATAGAAGTCTCTGGTTTTCATAGAGTCTTGTGGAATGTTTAGTTGCAGTTACTTCCCTGGAAGGTGAGACTTGGCATTTAAATGCATCCCTTGTCTCTTTGCCAGAAGTTCCTTCACTTTGCAGTGTTGTCAATGTGCTGCCCATGTATTGGTTGCATCATTCTGCTGTAAGAAGGTGATGCTGTGTAGTGATTGTCTCAAGGGCTTGAGATGTCTGTTTGCAAAGCTTTTCCAAGAACTTTCTCCATCTATAGAGAAGAGTTTAGTATTTAGTTAGCAACTGTATTTTGTGAGTACCACAGATTTAATCTAAGAGGTCATGGGTTGAGGTCATAGGATTTGTTAAAGTTTAATACAGATATTTAGAGGTGATGCCGAAGAAATTGGCTTTAATCCTTTTAGCTTGTTTACAGGATCAAGAAAGCAGCTAAATTGTTGTCCTTGATGGCAGCTTTTGCAATAGATTGCATTTGAAAAAGGGATTCAGATGAGTTCCTGGAGTGAGTTTCTATGAACTATAACTATTTTTCTTTTTGGTTCTCATGAAGAAATTCTTCTTGAGCTAGAAAGTGCAATTGATGCAGTGGAGCTGCCACCAAATGACGGTGGAGTCACCAAAGATGGAAGGTAAATTTCTTCTCATGAATGCATTTGCGTGTTAGAAGAAGTTCTAAACCCAGGTTAAATTGAGTCTGGTGTGAGCTTTTTGCTTATGAATGTACTTCTGTGTGCTCACAGAACAAACCTGCAGTGGGACAACAAATATGTCACTGTGTGAAGGGTTTCTCAGTGGCTCTCAGGGTTAGTAGTAATATTCTGGTTCCTGGGAATAGCACTCATTCAATGTTGCAGCTCTTCTTCAATCACCTTATGTAGCAATCATTATTTTGATGGGAAATATTTACATTCCCATCATTTTTTCTTTCTTACTGAGTTGAGAATGTTTTGCAACTGAATGGTGAAATTGTTGCTGTGAAAGAGTAGTAGCAGTTGTTGTGTCTGTGTGATGGTTTACTGTGTTTACCCACGTGTGCTTCTTTTTCTTCTGAATTGCAGCTACATCTTTGAACTGTTTGCAAAGGCCCAAATAACGTTTCAAACCAAAGCCTCACTCCTGGAGTCACTAGAGCAGATTTTACAGTTTCTTTCAGGCCGTAAGTCTGTAAATCTATCAGTTCTTTCACTTGGACTTTTTCTCTAATGTGAGTAATTGGAAGCTTGCAGTGTTCTGGGGGAAGCGGAGAAAGGCATCTTTGAATTTAACACTTAAAATAAAAAGGTCTGACCCTGAGAAACAGTGTAATTTTGTTGCTAGGCCCTCTGTTGGGAAACACTGTCCATCCATGAACCAGAATTTATTGTAAGAACCAATGTTGTGTCAAAACCTGAGCATTTACTGCTGTGTATGCACATGTGCACACCTCGAGGGTTTTTGCACATCACACTATTCTACAAAACAAGAAGGGATGTGTGAGGAGAGCTTGCTGGCACTTTTACTGATGGTGCTTTTTGTGTGTTGAGCTATTCCTGGCTCGTGGATTTCTGAGATAGCAATGTTGGGAGTTGCTTGATGATCTTTTCTAGGTTTAACGAGGTTCTGTTCTTGTGTCCATCAGCATCTTGTTCTTAATTGGCTCTTCTGCAAGGAAGCAGGTGCAACTTTGACATGTACTAAGAAAATAATTTGTCACGTCTGCTTAACAGCTCATTCTCATTAGCTTGCTCTTCAGTGAAAGCAATGAAAAGAGCACGGAACGTAGACATGGAATATATAATTTCTGCAAATGCATTCTTTGTGGGCAAATCTGCCCTTCCTTTTTCCCCCCCAGCATCCTTCTCTGGCTTAATAAATGCTATTTCCATGGTCAAGTTCTCATTGTCAGTGTATTTCATATGCTGTTTTATTTGCTCCTGCTTTAAGCGTGGGATGATTGCAAGGGGCTCTTAGAGCTGTAGCAAAGGTTGCTTTTGTCTCTGAGTAATGGGTTACACAAACAATTTCCTGCTTTCATAAGCCTGATGTTAGTTGTCTGAGCTCTTGAAAATATAACCGTGTAGCTTAAGCATGCTTATCTTCTGCCTTAATTACCTCCTTCCCAGTTTGTAATGTAGAAGAGCCTGAAGAAGTTGATGTTACAGCTTCTTAATGCATCAGAAACATGAAACTTATCTTGGAATGCCAGTTTTATATTTCTCCTTCCATCTTGAATAATGATGAGAACTTGAAATAACTCATTTCTGTTTCAGATAACGTTTCCAAATGATGCTTGCAGGGTGTTGTGCTGTTCAGGTGTGCATACACAGCAATACACATGTTTCTATTGTAAAAGTAATGGTTTTATTTTTCTTTGTAGGCACTGGGATATTTATCAATACCTCAGGATTGCATAAACTCTCAGATATTATCCAGGTAAATAATTAGTGCAGCTGCTGCAGGTGCCTGAAATATAGAAGAGTTGGCTTAAAAAGCATTCAGTGTCACTGGAGGGAACCATTTTTTTCTCTTTTAATTGCATATATACTTGTGCATTGATGGAAATACACAGGTTTAGAGGAGAAAGCTGCTGCCTAATGAGACAGCTTACTTTGATTTTTGACCCTGGTTGTTATTTCGTAGGTTTGATGTCCTGTTTGGTGAGCTAGATTGAATTTGGTCTGGGTTTAGCCTCCACCAGGTGGAGCTGGGTCATTGGGCTGTGCACATTTGAGATCAGTGTGTGGGAATGTGAAGCCTCAAAAAAAAAAGAGACAGGTTAAGTTTAAAGAAAAAAACAAAAGCAACAGATTACTTTTTTCATTTAATGGTTAAGTCAGGAGATCTTATAAGATAAAAATCCTTTTTGTGCCACAGGAACTGAACTTAATACTGGAAGTGTGTGAGCATCCATGTGTTGCTGACAGTATTCTCACTGCTGTGCATTTACAAAACATTATGAGAACCTGGGCCCCATAGAATAAGAGGGTACAGTGGGCCTGAAGTTCAATTTCTGGCTTCCCTCTGAAGCTGACCCGAGTTCTGGTGGACTTGGATGATACTCAAATATGGAGTAGCAACATTTGGAGAGCTTGATGTTCGAACAGATAGCATCTTAGCTGTACCATTACACATCTGGAAATCTGCCATTTGGGATATATACACCCATGTGGAGCACAGCTGTATTCTCAGAACTTGGTGATTTTTGAAACCTGTATCTGTCTGAGTCACCAGGGATGGCTGGGTTGAATTGGATCTTTTCCCAACAGCGAACTGAGACAATTATTTGTGTCTCTTCTGGATCATAAGGGTCATTCTTTGTCAGTCTTTAATAGATAGATCAGTTTTAATGTATGTTGCTGGTTGCTTTTCTTGGTTTTACGTGCCATGGGTTGGTGGTGTTCTGTTCTGGTTGTTGTTGCTATGGGTTGGTTCTTGATGAAAATTGCATCAGTGGCTGAACGATAAGAAAACCCCTAAGTATGGAGACTGGCAATGGGTGGCAGTGTTCAGTCTCTAGCTCACAGTCAATGTCTTCCATGGTAAAATACAGCAATTCCTTCTTACAGTTCCTTCAACAGTCAATTTGACAGCTTTTTTTTCCCTTTCATTACTCATCACTTTTTTAATTATTTTTGTTTTCTTTTTAGAAGAATACTTGCCCAAATCCTGTTTGCACACCCTGTCCCTGACTCCTTTTCAGAAATGTGTTTTCCCAGGAATTGTGCTTCTGTTTTCTTCTCACTACTGGAGAAGAACATCTTCCTTGTTAAATAGCTGATATTCCTGTGAGCTCGAGAATTCATTTTAAATGTCTGAAGAAATTTTGTTTAGAAAAATTAGCAGGGTTTATAAATATTGGAGAACCACAGCTGGTTTCATGGAAAGCTGCATGTTTGAAACTGCATCCCTTTCAGCCATGAGGCATCAAGTACAGGAAAGGGAAGGAAGCGCAATTCTGTTCTACGTTCGTGTGGGGTTTCTAGAAGCTTTTCATGTGAGGTGAGGACAAACAAATGCAATTACAGCTTGATTTTTTTCTCCAGGCAGTGTTATTAGGGTAGGATACCACAGCTGGGATTTTCAGCTCAGGGAATTCCAGAAGTTCTTGCACACACAGTTGTGGCTCTCTGTGATCTCATGACCACGCCGTGTGCTTGTGCTCTTGAGCAACCAGGAGTCAGGTATGGTGTGAATTAGTGATGCTACCACTGATAGAATTTGAATATATTTAGATTCTGGCTTGTATTGTTTGGAGCAATGAGGAGGACCAGTGGTTAGCAAGAACTGCCTGTAAAAATGTGTTTGTTCAAAATGACCTTATTGAATGAAAGGAGCAAGGAGATATATTTAAGGGTATCTACACAGTGAATTTTCTGGAAACACTTCTCAGTGCCAAGGTATGTTAATTTTGTTGATAACTGTTTAATCTTTGCATGTCGTTATGTTGTTTCTTCTAGACTGTATTCAACATTGATCCTCCAGAAGACACAACAGGTTTTGTGCCACCTCAGTCGATATCCAGGTATTATAAGGTATGAAATGCTTTCTGTTCTGCTTATTTCCTAGATAGCATTTAATGTCTGTGCTTATGTATTCTAGACTGAGAGGGATGTGGATAGTATAGCAAATTGTGGTGTTGATTACTACAGGATTATGTAACTTCCTCCAGGAAAAGAAGAGGAGTAATTAAATTAGATTGCCCAGAAAGAAGGGGACTTGTGCAGTAATTCATTGAGGAACTTCTTTTTTTAATTCTAAAACGTAAGAAGGGAAGTGCAGAAAATGTGAATTATTGCAAATGTTGCAATTCTACAGGAAGTGTTGTGTTCTCCTGGCAAACCCATCTTTTGTATTGCTCGGATTTTGTAGTTCTGTTTGTGAAGCAGTTCTTCACGAGGCTTAAGTGAGATTTCAGGGCCACCAGTGAAATGCTGCTTCCATAAACTGATTGAAAATGGATGGTTGAATTATTATATTCTGCTTTGCTCCTTGTTAAATGCACTGGAAACAAAACATGAAAGGCAGATAGAAAGTGATACAACCTTAGCATCACTATAAAATGACATTAATTGTGCTCCTTATCAGGAGCTAGCTTTTGGGGGTTGGGGTGCAGTGCACATTCACTTCTGCAGCAGTCTCTAGGAGCATTGCTCTTATTTTCCTTCAGGTACACATTCATCTGGATAACGGTAATCAGAAGAAGAAGAAGGAGAGGACAGATCTCTGGGATTCATCAGCTGTGAAAAAACAAGGTACAGAGCTCACACTTGGGTTCATGCAAAAGCGGGGCTGAACCCAACTCAGCTCCTGTCTTGTTAAAGAGAGCTGGATGTCCTTCATTGAAGCCTTCTCAGTAGAATGCTTTCCAAGGATCTTTGTAAGTACCTTGCCTCATGAATGTCTACTCAATTATTCATCTAAATGCTGTTAGGAATATCAGTATTTGTTTTACAGAAGTCATTTTGTTAAGGACTAAAGCAATGTTTTTCAAAGAATGCTTTCCCTCAATTTTTTTAATAAATTTTAGAAACAATTTATTGTTTCACATAATGTCCCCATGAATGTTTCCACAAAATACATATTCCCTTTGCTGTTCTGAGCAGCAGGACGTGCTGTTTGTTACTCTGCATCTACTGTTTTCCTGGGATATTGCTCCATCAGAATATCAAGTTACAGGAATAATTGTAAGTGGATTTTGTTAAGTGTGCAGGGAAAGGCTAGCAGAAGCACCAGATTTATTGCATAATTGGAGGATTTGTAAGTAAAAATAATACAAAGCAGTCACAACAAAAAAAAAAATTCTTCTGTGATGTAGCAAACATATGGATGTATCTGCTTCTAAAATAGAAACTGTTTGCAAGTACCTATGCAGCAGTCTAGCAATATCTTGAGACTTGCACCATATATAAACCTGGCAGAGGCCAGAGGTGACTGATCAGATCTCCAGTTTCTCTGTAGTTGTGTGGCATATGTTATGGAAATACTGCAGAGCTCTTAAGAAAAGCTGTTTTCAAGGGGTTTTGCAGAAATAATTTAGTTGAGCATAATTATCTACGAACTGTGATTAGTGAGGATAAGTGACGTAGCCTGAGATAGCTGATGAGATTACTTCCAACATAATTCATTCCATGATTCTATGGTAATAGAATCTACTTAAAGGTATGACTGAGCGATGACATCTTAAATTGTTTTGAGTAGTCATAGTAAATTGGAAGGATGAAAGCACAACACACCTACACCTGGGATTTCAGCTTCATATGCCAAGATGTTTTAGTTTTAGAAGTTCAGATGCTGCTACATGGTAGTCATATCCTATTTTTCCCCTATGCAGTGTGCCTTCTTATTGTTTTCTCTTTATTTGGTGCAGGAAAGACCTTAAGCTATTGGTGTTTCAGCCCTGGATATAGCATGCACGAGCTTGTTCGACAGGGAGTCAGGACAATTATCCTTACTAGTGGGACTCTCTCTCCTCTCTCATCATTTACAATGGAAATGCAGATGTAAGTGTCTGGGTATGTGAACAGTGGCATTATTGAAAATTCAGTGTGTTTTTTGTTTTATCTCAGATCTAATTGAGTGTTCTGGACTGGTAGCTAGTAGAGAATCATAGAGGGCTTATGACTTCAGTCTCATCTTTGTGTTTCTTCAGCCCTTTTCCTGTTCTCTTGGAGAATCCTCATGTTATTGATAAACGCCAGCTCTGGGTTGGAATCATTCCCAAAGGACCTGATGGAGCTGTGCTCAATTCTACTTATGAGAGAAGGTAATGAACTTCTGTATGGAATTCTGCTTTGAAACCTTCGGTTCTCACATCTTGAGTTCTGAAGAAATCAGTGCTCTCTGCAGTTCTTTTCATGGGTAAACACTGGATGGATAAAAACGGATAACAATACCCTTTTAACCACTACTGTAGGAAGTTGAGAAGTAGAGGACTGGAAGGGAGTGAGTATCAGGGCACTGAGTGCAGTAACAGCCCTTAGTGCCCCTGACTGGCCTCACGTGGGAAATCCCTCACAGATCAGAGGTGAAGCCTTTTCATGTGGGAAGTGAGCTCAAGAGTTGCACTTGCTGTAGAAGTGTCTCCAGCTCTGTTGTAACCACGCCTGGCCATCAGCCATACTGATCTGACCCTGACTTGCTGACTGATCCCTGTCCATGGCTTTATCTGACAGTCTGGGACTCGTGGTTGAACCTGACTGCTGTCTCTGAGTCTTTCCTACTTGCTTACTCTGTTGATGTGGCAGGTCCCCTCCTTCAGGTCATCCTCAGGTCCCACCTCCCTTCACATTGCAGAGCAGTCTGCCTGTGCTGCCACAGACCCTCATCCTCAGTTTGCTGGAAGCTCAATTGACTCAAAACATGCCTGGCCTTTGTAACAAAAACCTTTATGCTTAAAGATTGTCACCACAGTTGGCCTGCCTTTCACCTCTGCATTGCCTTCTTAAGGAAAACATATCCAAATCTTTAGTTGTTTTTCTTTTCTCTGGTCTTTCATATTTTTTTCTCTTTCTGTTCTTTCTGCTTTTTCTGTAGAAGAGATAAAAGTAGTGCCAGCAAGGATTGCTAAAACACATAAGTTCATTATATGTAGACTTTTGTTCCCTATAGGTTGTTCTCAATGAGATCTCAGCATATTATTTTAAGAGGCATTTTCATGCTATGTTGCACCTCACTAATGTTTCTGTGCTTACCAATTCTCTGAAGGTACTGAAGAGTGCCAGTGCCTTTGTGCCACTGTTGTTTTAGATCCCAGTCCTTCTGTGGTGCTTTGAAATGAGGATATCCTTGTGTATATGTATGTTTTCTTCCTCATTGTTGATGTTGGCTCTTTCAGTTTCAGCATTATATCTGTACCTCTAGCTGAGAATCACAGAATGTTGCCTGCTTGCTGGCCCACCCTTGTTCAGCAATACAGAACGATCCCAGAACAGATCTCAGAGTTTTTACTTCACAAATGAGCTACATGCCAGGTGTTCCATGGAATGGAAAGGGGCTCAACGATTCTAAATGATTTTGACAGAGAAGATGAAGCCTGGAAAGCCCTCAGATGATGTTCTTTGTTTTTGGAAGCTTGGTTTCAGTGTATTTTGTTGAAAGTAACGTCTTTCAAGGCGGAAAGGCTGGGGATTTCCCTGCCTTTGGCCTAAAACACCATTTTGAAGAAAGGGAATGCACAGCGTTAGTTATGTTTTGACAGCAGCTATTTGGTGATACTGATATTCATAGCTCTCATAAATGTGGATTTATTTTTCTTCATGTATTTGAGCTTCCTGGGAAAACTATGAGAAACTGCATGGAACTGAAAAGAAAGAATCATAAGGGCGTGAGAGCACAGGTGATATGTCAGTCAGGGCTGGAAGAAACAGATAAAGCTGCTCATTGTGGAGCAGGACTTTTTCAATCAAATTAAGTGATTCACTGTGCTTATACCTGCAGTAAACAATAACCATAGCAACCACGTTCACCCCTTTTGCCCCTGCAGCCTCACCACACCTAGTTTAGCTGTATTTTAAATTGTTGTAACGTTAGTCAGACTTCACAGGCTAATCTATGGACTTTTCTTGCAGAACTTGTGTTTCTGATATGTTAGTATTAATCATAAACTCATCTGACTGCCAGCGATCAGATGTGGTAGTAATAGTATCACTTTGTCACAGTATTGCCTGGTGTGGGTGTTGGGGAGCATACTAATGTGCTATTTCAGATCAGTATCAGGGGAAGTCAATATGCATGAAAAATGTACACAAGAAAGTAGAGTGAATGTTACCTGTTTTGGTTTTTTTTTCTTCTTTGTAGGTTTTCAGAGGACTATTTATCTTCTCTGGGGAAAACCATTGGTAAGTGAAGGGTATGGATTTCAAAAGCAGTTTGCTGCACAGCATTTTTAGAAATCACTTGGAAGGCTTCTGAAATGTTAAAAGGAAACACATGATAAGACAGAAAGGCGTAAGATTGCATTGTGTAACAAAGTACTGTTTTTTTCATGTGTCCTGTTAGCTCAAGCAGCTGGGTACTGCAGTGATGTAGGAAAATCAGTTTGATTAATCTAATATTTCCATGCTAGGAGTTCAGTTTTATTGTCAGCTCTTTATCTCTGGTTCACAAATATCCTTCCACGTGGTGAGAAAGCAGTGCAGACTAGAAAATAGATGCACAGAGATTATTCTGCCAGCATCACTTTGCAGAGCAATTAAGGATCACAGGAAGCTGATAGAGTTTCGTGTGCTGTGTGTGAATGCAGTTTGTCAAGCTGATCTTAATTCAGCTTTTATTTTTTCATGTTTTACAAATATAGTAGAACTATGAAATTTAATGTGTGAGAACAGAATAAGACAAAGTGTCTGTGCAGACTGACTGTGGTATGAAAGGAGTCTTAAATCTATGGAGGTTCGAAGGAAGAGAACAAAAAGAGGGAGAGAGTTCTGAGTTGTTCCACGTGGCCTCCATGGTGAACTTAGAAAAATGCTTTCACCGAATAACAGCTGGATGATTTCTCAGTGAGGTATATTCTACAGCAGGTAAAGGTTCAAAGTCAGGCTTGAGGTACTTGATCTGTTGTTCTGAATGTTGAAATTGCAAAGGATAGAGAATGGAGAAAACAACAAGGGAAAAGAAAAGCAGGTCTGAAAATAGATCCTGCTGTCACATGGGAAAATGCAGCAGGTGGTGTTGTCTCTTCCTTTCCTACTCCTTGGCATACTCATAGTAAGTTTTAGTCAGTTAATGTGACACTTTAGAAAACCTGTAATGCAATGAGTGCTTTTCAGAAGCGTAGCATTTATGGGATAAAACGTGCTATTAGCAGCACCAAAGTCTAGAGTTTCTTGCTTGACAATAGGATTATTGAAAGGATTTAAAGAGAATGCAGGAGAGATTTTGGAGATAAACCACGCTGTTAGCTTATTTTTTCCTGCACAGTCTCTACAATCCACGCCAGGAGAAAAATGCCCTGCACTATTCATTTGCCCATCTTGTTGCAGGCAATCTTGTGCGCGTTGTACCTCACGGACTGCTGGTGTTTTTCCCATCATATCCTGTCATGGATAAAAGCCTGGAATACTGGAGAGTAAGTTCACTGTTTTCCCTTTACAGGTGGTTTGGTTGCACATTTCAGACAGCTTGCAGTTATGCTATTTAACCATGCTTATTAAAAATGTTTCTGCCTCCATCTTCGTGTGTTTTGCGTGGAGGGGAGCAGATGGTGGGGGAAGTCTGAGCATATCCTTTCTCAAGAGAATTTCTGGTAGATGCTTGCTTTCATGTGAGCATTTGATATGTTCGTTATCTGTTCAACAGGAGCATGATTTTGCTAAAAGAATAGAAGAAGTGAAGCCAATGTTTGTGGAACCCAGGAATAAAGGAAGCTTTGCAGAGGTAGGGAATCTGCACTACATACCTGCAGCACACCTGCAAGCTATTGTGATGTTTTAGTACCTCTCTAAGTTGTGCTTAATTACTTGTGTTAATTAACCTGTGTTAATTTCATGTTCCTAGGATAAAATGAAAATGTTTGCAGAGCTGCTTTGAACTATGTTTTCTATTCAGCTTTCTTTTACTCTTCCATCTAACTGTGCATGGTTCAGTCATCGTATGAAATCCAGTGACTGTTACAGTGCTGTCTGCTTGCCACTGAATCATGTGCTGTTGGTTATTTTACAAAGTCCCATTGTAGCCTACTAAATTACTTAAATTTTCAGTTTCTTTCTTTCCTTTTTGCTTTTCTATGGCCATTCTGCATGCTTCTAAGAGTTGGTAATATCCTTGAATTGCTCTCCTGGTTTGTGTATTTTGTTCAAGAATTTGGAGAAATGACAGTCCATGAGTCTACTTTCTTTTCAGAAGCATCTGATGTCAATCTTGTATACTTGCCCAGATTTATGGAGATAGTTTAAGCAAAATTTGTATTAATCATGTTTTACCTTTTAGGTAATAGATGCATACTATGGTAAAATTGCCTGTCCCAAGTCCAACGGTGCTGCTTTTTTGGCAGTGTGTCGAGGGAAGGTAATGTAACTGAGAATTTATTTTATCTGTGATCAGATTACTTACCATTTTGAATTTAACAAGGATGTTTGTGTTGTGTAACCATAGTCAAGGGGGAGGGAAGGCGGAGGGAGTTGGATGCCCTGAAGCCTTTTAAAATTTATGTCAAGTATATGTAGGTTGAATTCCTGTTTTTATTAAAGAGAGATATCTCAGAGTTCTCTAAGGGGGATGAGCATCATGATACTTACATTTCCTGTTGGCTACAAGCAGAAACCTTGACTCATTAGATGAGAACAATTTTGGAGGAGAACTAAAAGAAACAATTGTAATTGTGCATGTTGGAACGGCGCTGATTACAACCAGAAACGTTGCTCAACTTTTAAGATGAAGATTAATTTCAAGTCCTCTGGATGCATGTGGTGGCCTTTCATTGAAGTATTGATAAATTGATTTACGATACCAGTGGTAATATTTGCAGTGTTGCAAATTACTCAGACTTTTTGCTACTGTCTACCAAGGGAAACTCATCTTCTGAGCCTTCAGTGCATTGAGAATCGTTGTTGGATCAATTAAGAAAAAATGTAACTCTTTCTGGGCAGGATTCTAGTGAATATGCCTGTCCTTCCAGCATCAGTGTATGACTCTGAGAGGAGTAGCATCTGTGGAGAGACAGTGCTTTGCAGTAGCACATAATTGAAGAGCAGGCAATTTAGGTTATTGTACTTGAAGGATTAATAGTATGAATGCAAAACTGGAAACATCTGAGAAAATAAACCAAGAGTTGTGTTGCCAGAGACACGCTGTGGCTGCTCCTCCTGTGCTGCTCTAAGCAGAGTACCCTTGGTCATTTTACCCATTCATCCCTGCCATGTATTCTATTGCAGCTGTTTGTGCAGTATGGCAAATGAAATGGGAAAACTACAAGACAAATCAACTTTTTCCCATGTTTTCGATGGTTTTTGTTCATCTCACAAACTAGTTTGCCAGCACAGCATGGGACACAAGTGGATACAGGGCTGTCAGTGACAGCTGCTTGGACAGATGTAAAGATATAAGCTTCACAGCTGGTAATGTCTGTGCTTTCTGAGCAGGTTCTTGGTAGCTTTTAATTACTGCTTTGATTTTGTTGTTGTTGTTTGTCTTTAATATCAAAAGTTTGCCATGTTCTTATTTCATCTTGTTAACAAAGGCACGGAATGTTGAATGAGATGTTCTGACATTTGAGACATCTGAATGCAGCTGTTCTGCTTATCCAGGAATAAAACACACATTAATCAATAGTTCTGGCACAGGTATGATTTGTCAGGGTCTCCTAGAGGAAAATACCAGATTTAAAGTCACAGTAATAAAAGCAAAAAATCTTTCTGAAGCTGTTTGCAATATATTCACTCTCTCCACTTGGCTGGGGACTTAATTTAGTGGAGGAAAAAATTCCAACAACTGCTTAAGTTCTCTGAAATATCACTTCACATCCTGTTGATCATGAAAATCCTTCTCTCTCTTCAGGCCAGCGAAGGCTTGGACTTTGCAGACATGAATGGACGAGGAGTCATCATTACTGGCCTTCCATTTCCTCCTCGTTGGGAGCCCAGAGTTGTTTTGAAGATGCAGTTCCTGAATGAGATGAAAAAAAGTAGTATGGGTGCTCAGGTAATGTTGGGCAGCTACAACTTTTGGGCTGCCTGCAGGTTTGTTGTGCCTTTTTCCCTTCTTGTCTCTGGGTTTTGCCTTTTCTTCCTGGCCTCGTGAATGTCAGACAGCCTTAGGAGTTTGTCACTGGTATATTCACATATTTCTGATAATGTCAAGGGTTCCAAATTCTTTCTCCACTGACATGGTTGCAATCAAATAGAGCTCAAAAAACAGTGTCATTAAAATTTGGATCAAGGTCTTTGCATGCATTTCTTCTTGCAGAAAGAGAGTGAGGAGAAGAACTGCACGTGCTGGTTGGTTTGTGTGTGGTGGATTTTGGTATTGGTATTTTCTTTTTGGTATAACGAATGGCAAATTTAGCTTATTATCCTGCAGGTTACCTCTTAGGGTCACTGTATGATTTAATACCTGTTTGAATAGCAAGGAAGCCAGTGCATCATCTATTAAGTAGCTCCTCAAGTTGTGTATTACCACTTGAGTTTTCCGTGTCCCAGCTGTGATACTTGATTCAACCTGAATTTGGTTTTCCTAGGCTTTTAGGGATTTTTTTCAGAAGATCTTGTTGGTACATTTTTAAGTGATTTAGAAATAAGTAGTGGCTGCATGTCACAAAGTATCTTTTACCTGGTGACTGATATTAATTCTTTCTCCCGCCTTATTGCAGTATTTATCTGGGCATCAGTGGTACAATCAGCAAGCTTCCCGAGCTGTTAACCAGGCTATTGGCAGGGTCATCAGGCATCGCCAGGACTATGGTGCTATCTTCCTCTGTGATGACAGGTGAAACCTTGGCTCTAGAGCATAAACCTATATCAACATCTTTGTATCTCAACACATTTATTCGTATTTTGTAAGTGTGCTTGTGTTGCTGTTTGGAGAAGGCTACAATTAATAAGTAATTGAATGTGTAAGATAATTGCACTATTTTGCAAAAGTAATTTGTTACCAGCTTTGTTTTATATCTTGTCCATCTCTCATTTGAGAAGGTGGCCACCAGAACTGCAGCTCTGGAGAAGGTGAAACCGAGAAAAGACTGTAATGCTGAAGCAACAGGAATTTAGCTGATAGCCTTCAATGCTGAGGCCTGGCAGGGGACGTTGGCCAACAGTACTACTACATAGTTACAGATTTCATGGTTGAATGATATTAATTGGGTGATGGCATAACACATGATAACAACAGAGCCCTCTTCTCCTGTGTGCAGTCTATTATATTTGCTGCACTATTTCACTCTTTCGTTGTCTTTCTGTTCCTCCCTTGTCCTAGCATTTCTTTAGTTCATTTAGGCCATCTGGCAAATAATTATTTTCTTTTCTATTCCAACATAGATTCACAACTGATAATGTCAGAGGCAAGCTGCCTTCGTGGGTCCGCCCTTACGTGAACGTTTATGACAACTTTGGGCATGCAGTCAGAAGTGTCTCAGTCTTCTTCCGTGTTGCTCAAGAAATTGCAAGTATCTTTTAGAAGCAAACAGACTAAAAACTTTTTTTTTAAATAGTAATAGAAATGCTAAGATGTGAGAGATGTGGAGTCACTTCTAAATAACTTTTCTTTTGGGGCATCACTGGAAGCTTTGTGGAAAAGGAAGTGTATCTGAGTGAGCTGTGACAGGATGTGTTGTCTCTGCACAACTCATTAGGTTAGATCACAAAAACAACTTCCTTTTCCAGTCACTCCTAAACAAACAGTGTCTCCACTGGATGGCACACAAATACAGAAACTGATGTTAGTATCAAAAAACTTCCTGGCCCTCTGGGAGAGGTTATGCACAACAAAAAAAAATCAGTCAAACCCTTAAATGTAGATCTAAGCTGACTGATGTAAAGAGTGAGACAGACCCAGAAGTTATTATGCTTCATGACTGGGTCATCTTTAATAATATGTTTCTCTTTGCATTAAGAAGCTCTTTTTCTCAGTAGTAGTTGCTTGATGTAAAAATTAATCCTTGGCTTTGTAATGTGCTGGAGAAAGGCGTAGCAAGAAATGGGCTGAGAGCCAGAATGGGAAATTCCTTGGCTTCCAAATGGAGACTAAGACTAAAATAAACATAGCAGACTTGAATAATTTCCTGGAAGATACTTTGACCAAATATGAGTTGTTCAAAATCATAAGTTTCAGACTTTTGGATGACATGATGATCCTTTCTGATGATAAATAGGAGTTTTATCGTAAATAGGAACCTCAACCCAGTGTGCTTTGCCAGAAGGAGTTGATGTGCAGGAGTGCTGTTAGGAAGCAGTTTTTGTTCTTAAACAGTGGTGTGTGCCTTTTCTGTTCTAAGAGTCATTTAGTGCTAAGCCTGCTTGCTGCACTTCATCTGGATGTGTCAACTTCTAGTTATTTGATCCTGTCATCAAAAGCACAAAAATCCAGAACACTTAAAACAATCTTGCTGTTAGGAGTTTTTGGGACAAATGTGATGCCTTCAGGCCATTGACAGGATTTCTGGTTGCAGAGGAAGTGGAGTGGAAGAGTAGCTTTTGCCAACTGTAACGTTTTGTAACCTGCTTGCAGATGCCCCTGCCTGCTGCACAGTGCCCTTCTGGCTCTGCTGTTACCCTGAGTGAAAATGATGTGGAACCTTCTACTTCATCTGAGCAGATCCTCTCCCTGCAGAAAGCCAAAATTTTGGATGACCATGTTCCCAGTTTGAAGAGGAAAAGGATAGGTAGGTTGATGTCCTCACAGATACACTTTCTGTTGTTGTTTTAAGATAAAGCAGGAAAGACAGAGTAAGGGATTGGATACTGGGATAGGAGGGGAAAAATGCAAAGGGCTCAAAGAACAATGTTGAAGTTTGATCAGAAAGGACATAGCTTGGTGCTAGGAAATTAGAGTACCAATTGCAACTACAGAGCAAAGGTGTGGTATAAGAATGTCTCCTGCAGGGAAGTTAGTGGAATATCATTCTTCAAAAATCAAAAGCTGTAAATAAAAACTCTGTTCTGACTAGCACTGGCTTTCGTATGTCCTTCTTCCATCCTTTAGTTGGATGAAGTTAGTTAGTCCTACATGGTGATCTGGGTAAGAAAACAGAAAGAGGGTGTTGGCCTTCAAAGAAAACAGTATTTTAAAGTTTGTGGTTAGCTAATGCAAAATAATAAAATATTTCTCACATCAGAGATTCTTTCAGAACATTCCAGCCTGTTTAACTTCATTTCTGAGCTGCACAATGAAGTGTGTTCATAAACTGATTCCAAAGAAGCTATGACTAAGTGTGAGACTGAGTCTGAGGATGAGACTTCACTTTAAGTCCAAGCCAGTCTGACTGCAGGTTGTTTTTTATAAAGAGGTTGTCTTGGCCACCTCCTTTTTCTCCCTCAATTTCCATCTGTGCATTTACATTGAATCCATCTATTGTGCTGCTGCAGAGCAATTCAGATGAGCTTGCTCAGCTGTTAACTTTTCATCCGCATGAGTGGTGGATCCATCCTGAAGGATGGGTTGGAATACATGACTGAAGTGAAGGTAGAGGGGAAAAGCTTGATTATGTAACTCTTTCAGTGTAAGCTTTTGATGGCACTTCTTAGCTGTAACAGCAAGCTACACTTGTAATCCTAACTTTGACTACCCGCTTCTTACTACTTGTGCATTTTTGATTTGTAGCTAAAGATGCTTAGATTCTCAAAACAATTACTTTTCTTAGTAAACAGCTCTATGTAACTCATTTTACAAGGTAGAGGAAATGTATTTCGAAGAGAGAGCCTTTTTGAAGTAGCAAACACCACTGATGGATCCATATTCTTATATTTAAAAACAGTTGCACGTGGATTTTGAAGAGTGAGAATATGTATTCTTGGTTCATTGTGGTGGCTGTGTCTTATAGCTGCTAATACTGTGAGATCCTAGCATCTCTTACGTTCTCTTTAAGAAGTTTTCATTGTTGTTTTTAATGAGTGAGTCATTTAAGAGCAGGAGCTCATGTTTGTTTGTAGGGAGATCCATAAATTGTAGCATTCAAACACAGACAACTGTGGCAGTAGAGGTTTTGTTTTCCATTGATCCTAAGCCATTGTGACGTTAAATATGATATTCCTTTAGGAGAAGTTTGAGGAAAGTCCTGACTTAAATTTGTGCATCAAATTGTGATAACAGATGTTTGAGAGATGTTTTTGGGAATGTTTGAGCAAGGCAATCTTCTTCCTAAGTCATAGAAAGCAGCTCTGCAAGAGATGGAAGAGGAGATAAAACAACAGGTCTTTGTTGTCCATCTTTGTGGATTGCTAAGTCAGATTTTGAGGCGTTGCTAAGTCAAAGAAAATGCAAGAGAAAGCACAAAAATGTTAATTTGCTATCTGCCTTGTGCAGCAATGCCAGTAAATGGAGGTGGAGCATCCAGCCTCTGCACAGAATATGAGCAAGAGATGATCTCACCTAGAAGACAATGTGTTGGGCTTCTGGATGCGTTGGAGCGCAGTGAGAAGAACAGCAAAGAGGTGGAGGAAGATGATGGTTTGCCAGGGGAGGAAAAGGTAATGATGATGCTGCAGCAAAGTAATAAGTAAAAATTGTTGGCTCTGAAGCAAAATGAGTTTGGCATTGATTTTGTAGCACCAGTTCAGCCCTCTTGAGCAAAAAGTAATTGCACTAGAATCTGCAGATGCTCACAGTGAAGTTTAACAAAGAGATTCCTAGACACATGCAATTAGATAAGCAGTGTGTACATACTTGGACTGTTCTTCATAACTGCTGACCATGTAGGCTCTGGAAGCTAACTGCAGGCTGGAGAGCAAAGAGCTCTTTAAAAAAAGAAAAAAGTGAGGCTTGACTGACTAGACTCCAGGAAACATCTAGAACAACTCAGCTAAGCAGTTTGTTAGGGGAATGTGCTTAAGGGAACGCGTGAGTGTGTAAGGAATATCCAAGGAGTATTTAAAAAGCTGTAAGGGATATCAATGGGAATAGATTTGTGACAGATGGAATGTATGAGCTTGAAAAAACAGAGAATGTTTTGCCTGTGTGTAGCTGATGAGAAATGAGCTCCATCATCCACGGGCACTTTAGTCATGGCATGGTAAGGACGTCTGAGCTCATTCTTTGGAAAGCCCAGCACATCTCCTGGGGCTTTGTCACCCTGGGAAGAGTGTCCTGTTACACAGCTGCACTGCTTTTGGTCTAGCTTGGGATTTCCTCAAGTCAAGTAAGCCGGTGGTCTCGATGACTTGACAGTGAGTCAGCTCTTGTCCATCTTCCTGTACAGTGTTACTGTTTGCTTGTGGCTTGCAGAAGGCTGTGGTCATCCTGTGCTGCACCAAAAGTGGCAGTGAGATGTAGCTGAACTCTGGCTCCTTCAGAAGCACTGCACAATTCGAGCGTTGCACTCTTTACTGACCACTGCATTTGGACTGCTTGTACAGTTTGTGTGCTTTCAGAGCTTTACTCACCATCCATCATGGGAGCTGTATTATTCTTTTTATCTTCTATCAAAGTTACACAGTACCCCTGCACCCTGCATGTTGAAATTAAGCTGCTGTCATTCTGAATTGATTTTATTAGGTTGGACATTTCTCTCTAAGGAAACAAATCTTTGTCATCTCAAATAAAAAAATCAAAATACAAGACGTAGTATCTCAGTCCACTGAAAGAATGACTTGAGTTTGTTTTTTCCTTGTGAGAAATACTTTGTGGAGGCCTTATGTCTTCTCCATCATTCTATTAAACATTTTGCTCATAGGCAGTCTGGGATTAGAATGCATAGGTATTTCTGGACCTTCTTCTGACTTACTGCAATGTATCATGCATGTTCGACTTGCAGCTTGTATTCCAGTTGTTCATTCTGTTACATGACACTTAAGTGGAATATATTTAAATGGACACTTCTATTGGTCAGATATGTCTGGAATTCACTCTCCTTGCAGTGTTATGAGTGCACTGAAGGCTCTATTTCTGACTATCAGCAGCTGGCAAATCTACTGGCCTGGTGCTTAGTTTGTTTTTTTATTGCTTAATGTGTGATTAATTTAGTTTGTCTCTGAAGCTTTATGATCTGAACAAACATTTAGAAGCCACAGTGGAATACAGTTCAGTCTGGAGAAGAGGAGGCTCAGGGGAGACCTCACTGCACTGTACAACTTCCTGAAGGGAGGCTGTGGTGTAAAAGGGTCTGGCCTCTTCTCCCAGGCAAACAGTAGGACCCGAGGAAACGGCCAGAAGTTGTACCAGAGGAGGTTTAGGTTGGATATTAGGAGAAACTTTTTCTCTCAAAGGGTGGTCAGGCACTGGAATGGCTGCCCAGGGAGGTGGTGGAGTCACCATCCCTGGTTGTGTTCAAGAGGCGCCTGGATGAGGAGCTACAAGAGATGGTTTAGTGCTTGTGGCACTGATAGGAATGGGAGGGGGGTTGGACTGGATGATCTTGCAGGTCGTTTCCAACCTTGTGATTCTGTGAACAGTTGTTCACTGGTTCTTCTCAGAAATTAAACCATGCTATTCTGAAAATGGACTGATAGTCACATACTCATTAAGAAAATCTTTATTGGGCAAGAGCAAAGAAATAAATCACTTGAAGTACCTGCTTTCTCAACAGGTGTGTAGAAATCAGTGGGCAATATGGGGCTATCCCACTGCTTCATCTGTTACTCAGACGAATGCTTGCAATGTGGTTGTTACTGACTTATGCTAGTGTTGGAGGCTGCTGTTAAGCAACCTGTTGCTTATGGCCATGCACTTAGCTTTTGGAGCTTTGTGCCTGCCAGTGTTCCCACTCACAGTTGTACAAGTGCAACTGTTACTGGAAATGGGGAACACAAGAGAACCTGTTGAACCACAGGAGTTTCTAATACTGTCTCCTCCCATCTGACCTGATATTCCCTATGAGGCTGCTTGGGCTTCTCAATATCCCAGGAGAAGTTGTGACAGTTTCTTCAGTGAGAAGTACTTCAGGCATGAAAGTGAGGGCTGTGTGAGACATCAGTTCCACACCTGTGTGCCCCCCAGGCCTACTCTGAAACAGTTAGCTGTAAGCCTAGCTTTGCTTCATCAGGAATCTACTCTGATTTCCTCTGCTTGGTTCTGTCTTTCTGAAATGTGCAGTAGATCATTACTTTCCAGAAGGAGGTAAGTGCCATAGTTCCCTTTGCAATAATTTAGGTTGCTTTGCTTCACTTTGAGTGGTGTCACAAGCTGGATTAACAAGCTTTACTACTGGAAAAATGGCTAAATTAAGTAGATTACAACTTTGAAAAGCATTTTGGAGAGCTTTTTGTTTATTTTTAATCAATCTTTGTAGGCACAACGTCTGTCAACGCTTTCCCTTCAGTATGAGAAGAGGTTAACAGATGAGCAGAAAGGAGGAAGGAAGAAAATAAAGCTGGTCAGCAATCCAGTACGTGTTTTCTTGTGTCTCTGTCATCCTTTTGATATGTAGAATGCTGTAATTTGAATTGAAAACTTCCAGGCAGGCAGATGACTGACATGGACTGATGCTGATGCCAAAACAAATGTAGTTTTTTTTCCTAAATTATAAATATTCATGAGTGCCCATCTGAAATCTGTTTCTGACATGCTCTTTCTCGGATTTAGGCATCGCAAGTCCAGTCAAGCACAAAGGTTCAGGTGGAGTTAGGTGCAAAGCATTGTTCTTTGATTGTAACTACGTTGCTAACATCACCTCATTATTCACCCTGTGTGAATGTGAGTGGATTTGTTCTTTTTCTATTGGTAGTAGAGCCTCAAATAATGTAACTGACCAGCTTGGTTTGGGTCAGTGATGACATCGTGACTCCCTCCCCCCCTGTTGTGCATTGATGTGCATCCTGTTTGCAGTTGTGTATTTTTGTTGTGTTGTCTCCTAAGAGGATGGAGGAAAACATGGTAAAAATCCTAATGCAGCTTATTGCCTGAGAGCTGTGATGAATTCATGGGGATCCCAAGTGATTGTGGGTGCCAGTAGTCATTGAAGATGCTGTCCAGCTGGGTTCTGTCTCTGCCAGAGTCTGCCAGCCTCTTGGCCTCCAGAACTAATAGAGTAGTCACAGATCCTGATGTGCTGATATCCAAGGTGTGAGGAAGGGAACAGGTTCATTGCAGAAGGTTGTATTTACAGTTTGTTGTTATGATGAATCAACCTGGCCCTGAAAGTTGCAGCTGGTCTCATTTCTCTTAATAAGCCTTATCCTAAGGATAGAATTGTGAAATGAAACTTGGCTACCTTCTCTAGGAGGTGCTCCTCTGAAGCACTCAGTTTTGTCAGCAGAGAAGATGAATATCATTGCTTTTCTTTCACAGGAGAGCAGATACAGATGTTAGGAACAATGTTTTAGGAATAGATAAGATAATCATCTGGGGAAATTAATAGTATACTTATGCCTCAGAAGATTGCCCTATGACTTGAAAATGCGTGACAAGGGTCATAGTTACACATGTTGAAACTGAGTAAGAACATTGTGATCTGCACTTTCATAAAGGAGGGTTCATTCTGAATCTTTTTCAAGTTCCTGCTGCTTGTGATTATGGAGCATAAATGTTTCCCAAAACTAGAGAGTAGTCCAGATTTTCTGTGTTAGAGGAACTGAAATACATGACCACCTTCCATCCTTTGAATGTGGATATTTGCTTTTCTTGTGTTGCTGCCTGTATTACAAGAGTCACACATTATGTGAGAGCATTGCACTGTTCTGTGTGCAGTCCAAGTCACTACTCTGTGTTTAAAGATACCTTCTGCCTCCTGAAAGTCTCAAATGTTTGAGGAATGCTGCAGAACTGTAAATGTTAACTTCATCTCCATACCCATGAGGATAGCTCCTCTCCTCATCCTGTCTACTGAAAAACCTTCCTGTCTTCTCAGCTGGCCAACAAGGCAGCAGACCCAACGGAGCCAAAGAAAGCCCGAGCGACCTTATACATTGCAACAGTGAAGAAGACCCTAAGCCAGCAAAACTACAATCTCTTCTCTGAGGCTCTTCAGCGCTACAGGAGCACGGCTGACTTCAACACTATGTTGTCTCAAATGAGTTCCCTTTTTACAGAGGATGAGGAAAAGCATGTCTTGTTGCGAGGTACGACGAGTTCCCTGCTGTGTTTATACATGACTTTGTGTTTTAGATAGGCCCTGTTTCACGAGGGCAGGAGAATCTGAAGGTGTCACTGGTTGTTTATTGTGCGTATGAGCAGAGGGGCAGATTTTTCTGTCACTTCTTTCGTCTGCCAAAAATAAAAGCATAGTTATGCAATTTACAATATGAGTAAGGCTATATGCAAGGCTAAGGAGTGGGAATACGAGCACTTGGGAATAATAGCTGCAATCTCTCTCCCAATTTGCCTTGCTTGCTCTACAAATAAGAGAACACTAGATTGCCACATTCAGCTGATAGGCAACGTGTAGCTTTCAGGCTTCGTGTGCCTGCAGCTTTAGAAGTTCATTTGACTTGCAGTGAGGTTTAGGTTTTGGTCCGTAGGCATTTTACAGTGAAGTGAGATGATGTGTAAATTGCTTCCTGTTTACAGTGGAAAAATTACAGTTATTAGCTCCAGCTTTGCTGGCAGATTGCTCTGTAACTTCACTCAGTGTTGTTCTGAAGTGTACTTACGTAAATTCTAAAGAACAACATTTGGGCTTTAAGCTATTTAACTACACTAACCCAGAAGTCCTACCATCATAAACTTCTGTAGCATTTTTTACATGTTGTGGACTGATTTTTGTTTTTCTTGTTTGACTGATTTATTCTTCTTCCCTCTCTCTAATGAAAGAATTTTACCAGTTTGTTCGACCTCACCATAAGAAACAGTTTGATGAAGCATGTTGCAATCTGACTGGGGTGGGCTGTGGGTACAAACCTGAGCACAGCCTCCTGCTGGAAGAGAGAGAAGGACTGGCAAAGAAAATAGGTGAGGAACTTTAGAGTTTGTCTAATCATAGAGCGAGATGAAGTGTGTGGAAATGCAAGGATGAAAAGCAAATTTGGTGACTCAAAATGAAGCTCCATCTTGCATTGCATGGCCCTCCTGCCTGCCATGCCACAAGCGTGCACAGATGCCTGCACTTTGGCTGCTGCATTGGTAGTAATGGTGCCATCCTTTTTTCAAAAGGATGCTTTACTGATGTTTGTACCTCAAACCTTATCAGTGGATTTCAAAACTGTGTGCATTCCTCTGGCTGCTTTGCTACCCCCAAAGTGCCACAAGAACTGTGAACAGCTGGTGCAGTCTTTGAAATCCTGGAGCAGTAAGATGCTAAAGGAGCAGGGTGTTGGTTCATCCCCTCAAAACAAAGAAATACGTTTACTTCAAGTGTTTTCATCATGGGGTGACAAGGTTTGCAATACATCATTCTGTTTTCATTCTTCCTTCACTGCTAACAAACTGGTTTGCTTTAACAGAAGAAAAAGAGAGTCGGCAGAAAACAACCTTCTCAGAGAACTCATGCACTCAGCTGAATGCTGGGCTGCACTTGAACCAGGGAGGATTTCACTTGACAACAGGACAGACCAGTGCAGGTATGCTTCGTGTTAAGTAAAATCACAGTCCTAAGGTATTGCATGTTATGTTTTGTTTGTAAATCTTTGTAAATTCTCTCAAGGGGAACCAGTGTCTCCTGTATTCACCTGGCACAGTGGACCAGCAGCAGCTCACTGTAGGTAGGAGTGAGGGTAGCTGAGAATTTTCAGCAAGGATTGTACAGCACAAACACCAGTTAGTCACATATCAAGGTGGATATGAAAGGAGCCAACAAAAGGCAGGAGTTTGCACTGGATGTTGACCTGTGCCTCTCAGTGAGGGAGAGGGTGAGTTGACAAGACTGCTGCGTGTCCTGTTTGCCCAGGGTTTGTGAACAGGAGATGTTTGGAGAATGTAATTTTAGATGAGGTCAGATTGAATTTAGGTATAAAGCAAAATGCAGTTCCTGTTTTGTTATGAGGATTGCATACAATCCTAGTGTGGGCAGTGTGTTTTCTGCAGAAACAGGGACCAGTAAACATATTCTCACAATTACACATTATGTCTACCTGTGTCCTTCTAGTCTCCTGCTGTCCAATATTTACCCTTGCAGTCAAAGGCTCAGTTCTGTTGTGATTACTGATCTTCCTGAGAACAGCTGGGAATTTTCTGTGTTTCTTACAAGGAAATTAGTTGGGCAGCTTAGATGTCTGTCTTAAGATGGTAAAGAATAGTCAGACTAATCCTTTCTTCTTAAATACAAAAAATAAAATAGAAAGCCAACGATTCCTGGAAGGCTTTGAAAGCTTTTCATCTGTGAGGCCACGTTATTTCTTTTGTTGAATTTCCTGGTTTTATTTTGGATTTTAAGAACTCTGGCATGAAATAATCTTTGGTAATTTTTTTCCCCGAGATCTGTGAGATTGATCTGCACAGCAGTTTGGTTCTGTTCAAAGCAATTAAGAAAATAACAGGAATAAATGTATGCAGCATTCCTGTGACTCACACCCTGGGTAGGGTCTGCTCCTGTGAGAAGCTGCCAAAGAGAAAACTCACACCCATCTTTTTCCCCTTTCCCAAAGTTGAAGTAAGTCCATCTTTTAGAAGCTCATTATCTCTGTGAAGGATAAAGATTTAAATATCAAAACATGTGGTTGGTTAATTTAAATCAGCTTATTACGTGTTTTACCTGCGTTTACATACCTCTAATATGCAAAACATACTTCTAATATGCTAAAACCTGCCAGCAACAAGACACTGACATTTTGAAAAGAAGCCCATTTGGAGTTTAGCAAGATGTTCTTAGCTATACCTGTCTTCTCTGGTGCTGTCTCGCTGCACCATCTATCTAGTTGTTTATTTTGGGTGGGTTAGTCTCTTTTGGCTTTTTGCTTTCCCATTGGGGGTGAAAAAGGACACCTCCTTCTGGTATAAGAAAAAGAAATATCTTTACAATTGCACTCAGGTTTACTTGCTTGTGTATCAGGCAGTGTAGTTGGGTAAGCCATCTGTTTATAATGCTTGTGCTCTTTTAAAGGGTAGCACGAAACCTGATTTGCTGCTGACCTCTGTGCACAGTCACTTCTGTGTTACCTATTTCTCATTCCTCAGTGACCATCTCACACATTGCTCCATTTCAGAGGTTTTAAACTCCCAGAGGTGCTAACGAGGTTCCCCAAAATTAATTTGCTCAGTTGGCATTGCCAGGAGCACCAAAGTCATGTCTGAGCAGGGCGTGTGACTGCAAGCTGCAGTGGTTTGAAGTGGTTTAGGAACCCCTCTCTGAAGGAGGAGAAATGAGCACAGAGGACTGCTCATCTGTGTTCTTTGCCTCTCAGGGGATAACACCAGTCAAGCTGTGAGTAAAGACACGAAAAATGCTTCAGGCTCAAGGAGAGATCAGCACCAGGTCCTCAGGGTGACCTACCTCAACGATGTGAAAAAGGCTTTGAAGGAAAGCGCCTACAGCCGCTTCCACGAGGCGCTGCTGGCTTACAAGAGGACGGATGACTACGATGCTATGATTCCAGTGGTGGCAGCCCTCACCACTGAGAGGCCAGAAGACTTTCATCTCCTGCAAAGTAAGGGTTGTTTTAAAGCCTTTTTTAATTGGTTGAGAAAAAATATGTCGGTGCTGTGATCCCGTGTGAAGAATAACCTTTCCCTGCTCAGTAGTTAGCTTACAAATTCTCCACTGCTGGGAGCATTGCTAAACATCCCCTCTTCCATCTTTTACTCTGGCAAACCAGATAAATGGAGTAGCAGGAATGCTGTAGTAAGTGAACACTACAGAGAGCAAAAAAAAACCTGAGGTTGAAAGGTTGCCTCTGTTCAGTTGGGAACTCTTCAAGGAAAAAAAAAATTGAGTAAAATTCAGTAATTCCAGTCTAAACCTTCAGTCAAACTGATTTCAGTCAGCTGAGTTCATTACTTTTTTTTTCCTTCCTCAATTATGTTACAAGTAGTTGTTCTTAGACAAGGCAGTGCTGACTGTTGCACTTGCTGAATGTTGCTCTCCTGGCTATTGCAGGTCTCATGGCTAGCTATAGCAGTGCTAAGTTCTTAGTTCCCAGTAAGCTGAGATTGTTTTTGGTGTTAAATACTCATCTGTCTTCTAGCCAGGAAAACTTGGTGATTCTTAAACACAGCAAAAAGCCTGAAGATACTCTGAGGACTATGGATGATTTTGCTCATTTTCCAGAGAATTACCTCCCTCCAAAATAACCACTCTTTCATAGTCAGCCATTTACTGCCCTATGCATTCACTGCCTTTCCTTTTGGCAGGGTTTACCATGTTTGTGCGGCCGCATCACAAGGAGCAGTTCAGGCAGGTGTGTAAAGATCTGACTGGAACAGTTGGTGGTGATGAACAGAAACAGCAGATGCAGAATGAAAAAAGTGCTGCAACTCTGGAGAGGTGGTTGACTAAAAGAGCAAACTGCCCTAACCAAGGTGAGGAGGAGTGTTTCTCTGAAGCTTGGGCTCCTGTTGAGTGTTAAGATAAGCAGTGTCTGACAGCTTTGGCTGTCATGATATGTAAAGGAACGTCAAAGCAATTGGCCACCTCCAAGTCATGTTAAAAAAAACACCAACAAAACAAGCATAGGCTGGAAGGCAGTGGGAGATGGGAAGCATGAGGAAACAAGGAGAAAATCTGTTATAGGGCCAACTGAGAAATGTGTTATGACTGAAGGTGGAATTTTTTGCACCTAGGAGGGGCAAGAGCGAATCAGGATCCTCTAAGAATAGTTCACCATGGAACTATTTCACCACAAAGAGCCTCTTTCAGTAATGATGTTGTGTGTGAAGTACCAGAAACTTCAGGGGTCAAAAGAAGTTATTCAAATTCATTTGTTCTTGTATAATGAGAACTTACTGAACTTGCTGTGAATTGTGTTTTTGTGTTTTACTGTACTGTGTGCTATTGTTTTCATGGTCAGATGGAGATGTTCCTAAGAGTGAGGTTCCAGAAAGAAATGGGGGAGAGACTTCTTCCTCGTGCCTCAGCCAGAAATGCAAACTTGAATTACCAAAGGCTGAAGTATCTAAAGAAATGAGTCACGTGAGAGCACCCACAGCTCCTGGAGTTGTGCCCAGCTTACCACTGGAGTTGGATCCAGAGTTTGGTAGGTATAGGTGAGCTTTGCAGATGTGATTCTGTTATTTGTGGGAATAAACAAATGTAGAACTGAGGATTATGCTGATGCTCTGTTAAATTGTGGTTGTTTCCTGCCTGTATTTGCACAGGTGCAATAATGTGTAGTATGGATTGCAGAGTAGAATTTATACTGCTAGCTGCATCTGTTCCATCCAAGTACTTCATTATCTTTATCACAGTGATGTAATAGTTTCCTGGGAACAGGTTTTTCTCAACAACTTCCTTGTAAAGCAAGGATGTAAATTCTCATTCTAAACGGGAATTTGAAGCGCCAAGAAATCTAGTTGAGGTCATACAAGTAATACAACAGGGTCCTGTGTTGCATCAAGGTAAAAGAATTTTATAGAACTCGTGGTCACTGGTTTCTAGATTGCAGTGGTGGAAGTGTGTATGCATGAGAACTTCACAGGTGGTCAATGGAACTTAGTAATTTCCTTTCTCTCTCTTCCTCTCTCCCCCTCTGCACTGTAGGAAGATACCAATGTCCTAACTGCAAATCTGAGGATGATGTACCCTTAAAATGCCCACTGTGCATCTTCACTTGCTGCAAAACATGTTGGGAACAGCTCTTAAAGGTTACCTTGTTTATTAGTTTCACTTTTTCCTGAAACTGATAGGGATTTCTGTGCTTTTCAGGAGAACCACGTGAACAGCCCTGGAAATCAAATTCTTCTGTTGACAGAGAGAAAATCCAACACTCATTTTAAGTTTATCACTTGAACGTTTCCTCTGCTATCTTTATTTTCCATGTTCTGGAGTGTGACTGAAGGCAGAACTCTTCTCAGCTTCCTTCAAATGCTTTCCTCTCTAACAAGAGGGAATTATTTCAACCCAAAAGAGGGGAGATTTAGATCGCGTAAAAGGAAAAAGTTCTTTACGGTAAGAGCAGGGAAGCAGTAGCACAGGCTGCCCAGAGATGAGGTGGGTGCCCCATCCCTGCAGGCACTCAGGTCAGGCTGGGAGGCTGTGGGCACTGATGGAGCCGTGGGTGCCCCTGCTCACTGCAGAGGGTTGGATCAGATGGCCTTTAAGGGTCCCCTCCAACCCAAGTCGTTCTATGGTAATAAAGAGTGAATCCAAGAATTACTAGCATGCATTTATAATCTGTACTGTAATTTATAAGCTGTCTGTTGAATAGAATGAGACCCCTGGGGAGCTTGTTGGTTAGGCAGGCATTTTATGACCCCATTCTTAGAAATAAGGGAGATTGTTGCATTGCCTCAGCCCATAAAAATCTTGTACACGCCTGGGGAAGAACTCGTTCCTTTTGCCAGTAAGACATAGCTTGCAATTATGGTTATGTCAGCTTAGGAATTGGCCCAACTGTGAAGAGCTGTGGTATATTAAGCAATTAGTACCATTGTGCTGTGGTATTCATCTTGGGGAATTTGGTGATTCTGAGGTCTGGTTTTCTTGTCAGTCCTCATATTGACGTGCATTTTGATAGCTCATAGGTAAATCCCAGAACTTGCTCAGCTTCAGCTTTCTTTAATCACCCTTTAGTAATTGCACACCTTTGGGGCTGGAAATTAACGTGAGTAAACCATAGGAGTACGATAGCAGACGTACTGAGTCAGAGTAAAGGTGCATCCAATCCAGCATCCTGTCTCTGCCAACAGCCAAAAAATTATGGCTGGAGGAGAATATGTGAATGTGGCACTTTCCTGTGAATATTCTCACAAACCTGAAACCATTTGCAGGACAGGAATTCCTGTGACCTTTTGTCATTCGTGTCCTATAGCAGGCGCTTCCACAACTTGGTCGCATGTTACGTGAAGAACTGTCTCCTTTCTTTGCTGTCATTTTGACCTGTTTCTTGTTAGTTCATTTCAATGTCCTGCTTGTTTGAAAGGGACAAACACAAAGTCCTCAAAACTCACCGTGGACATCCTGTCCTTCAGAAGTGCACCTTTGGAGCTTTGGTCTTTCTGCATGCATCAATAGTTGGATCCATCTGTCTCCTCTGTAGACAACTTAAATCAAAATCTGTATTGCTAAGGATCTCTTTTTTGCTCTCAACAACAAGCTGTTATGTAGAGGATGTAAGAAGCATCTTCTCATTAGCTGCCTGTTTGTTCTGTAGTCAAGCACCCCTCAAAGTTCAGTGTGAGCGTTGTTCTTTGCCCTTCGTATAGAGCATGAAGCTCTTGTCACTTTCTTGTCACTGACAGCATGAAGCTCTTGTCACTTTCTCACTTGTGACAGATCTTTCTACTGATGAATGGCTCTCAGAATCAGCAATGCTATTGACAAGGCAGATATTCAGCTGTTTGGGGTATTGCTTTAGGACTGCAGGAAGACTTCTCCAGGTGATGGGACAGAAGCGTGTTTCCTGCTCTTCATATAGAACTGAGGGAAAGATGTCTTGCTGGAGAGCACAGGTTTGCAAACAAGCTGTCTGCAAATATCCCACGTTCCTCTATAACCAACCTCAGAGGAACCACCAGCTGATGCTTCCCCCCCAATGCAGTCCCTGCTCTGGTTCATGCTGTGGGCATTTCCCCCCACTGATGGCAGTAGCTGTTGTCTGAGCTCTCATCAGATGGCGTCAGGGGTTTGTTGCTACTGATGAGGTTGGATTTGAAGACTCATCTAGGCCAAGTTACTCACACTGTATTTCTTCAGTTCAAATTCAGCTCGGTGTATGCTGTCCTACTTGAGGAAGTGACTAACAGCCTTGTTAAAGACTCAATGACTTCAGGTTTGCAAATTGTGTCCCTTCCAATTTCTTGCGTCGCTGAAACAGCTTCGTTCTGCAGAGAGTCTGAATAATATTGGAATGTTTCTGAAACTTTTGGAAGAGCAGTCAGAATTCCCTGCAGCTGTGTGATATTAGAGAGATCAGTGCTGGGTGAGGTGAGGGCTGCCCACGTGTGGGAAGGCATTGCATGGAGCACATTATGTATGCTGCCTTTGGTTGTAGTTTTCTGTGCAGAGGTCCATTGCTCTTTTCAGCTTTTAAATACCTTGTTCCTTCGTGCTCTTCTTGTAGGCATTCCAGAGAAACTGGAAGTTGTTCTCTGTGCTATTTAGATGTACTGTAGGGGAATTAAAGTTTCACAATTATATGTTACACTTAAAATTTGGGGAGTTACTTGACAAAGCAGTGTGTACAGGGAGGTAAAATGAGTTTCTTCTCTCCCTCCATTTGGAGTATTTTGTTTTCTAGCATTGAAATAAACTGCCCTAACCTACTTTATAGTCCATGCTTTGTGTTACAACAGTAACATACAAGGGAAGGTCATAGGCAGGGTTTCCTGAACGTAAGTCGAGAAGCATCCTGAAACCTGGGTTGAGAAACAAGTGCATCACGTGCCACCTTCTGCTGGATACCTGGGAAGGTGTGTGGTGGGATGAAGAAATGAATGTGCTCTGTACCTCTGGAGGAATCCTGGTCCTGGCCACGTGTGCCACTGATTTCCTGCTGTGCCCACTTCCTTCTCATCTGTGCCTGAGGAAGTTCACAGAACTCCTTGGTGACCTTACAGCACTTTGCCAACCAGCACTTCTGTACTTCACAGCAGCTCTTGCAAGTTCTTGAATCGTGTTCTGTTTCCTCGTTCCTTCCTCTTCTAGGTGTGCCATAGCTGTAAGTGTGAGACAACTGCTCTGAAACTTGTTGCTACTTCACCAAGCAGCCTTTTTGCTTTCCTCTGTGCATTGCTAGCAGTTAAAGCAGTGGTTGCATGCCAGCTCCACATCTAAAAACAGTAGGCAAGGTATCTTAAGAGCAATGAAATGAAAGCGTTGGTTATATTTCATATCAGACCATTGCAAACTTGGAAGAGAAAGTTTATATGTAATCAATATGTTTTCTTCATCTGTTTTTGTAGATGAAGAAGTGCCCAGAATGCTGCTGTGACGTGAAGAAGAAGCGCTTGGTTCGAGCCTATTTCTGGTAATGGTCTCACTGCAAGAAAGGCAAGAAAGGCAAGTGCTTTGTGTCAGCAGAAATCAGGCTGCTGTGCTCTGACCTGAGCTGACAGGAAGCAGGAGGAAGGTTCTTCTAAAGATCTCTGCTCCTTGATGCTGGTGAACATGGCTGTGCACCAAAACGTGTCATTTTGTTGTGCGAATCAATTGAGTGTGAAAGGCCAGGTGTGCACTGCTGGCAGAAGACAAAGCAGCGTTGTCCTCTGTTGGGATGAAGATGGTGAATTTATTTACTGTATCCTGTGAATTTTATATTGACTTAGGCCTGATTGCATATCCTGGAAGAGGCTGTCATCACCTGGCCCTTCAGGTAATATCCATTCCTGGAAAAACCCTACAACAGTTACATGTTGGAGTGGAGCTGGCTGTGTTACCAGGCCAGACACAGCCCTACAGGCCCCATCAGTGTTCTTGGAGGAGCAGTTCATGTTCTTTTGGTGTTTGGTAGCTGTTGTCTCCAATAGCAGAAGATACAGAAAGGAGGGCTTTCCTTCAAACAAAATCAAGTGGTTGGACAGTGAGCAGAGATGCTGCCCAGTGCCTGCTGTGCACCCCAGTGTCATCCACAGAGCAGGGATTTTTGGAAATGTGCTTCTCAGGAGGCTTTGTGTTTTGCCCAGCACTGGCACTCCTGTTGTGTCAGTGTTATTTGATGGTTGTCTTCCAAGAAGAAGGATCAAATTGATTCCAATCTTTAAAATAAATGAAGTGGAATGGATTAAAAAAAAAAAAAAAGCTCCTCAATACTTCCACTCTCTGTAAGTAGTGGGAATAAGGGGTTAACTTAAATCAGCTCTAAGTCATCAGTCGTGTCTCTTAACTGAACCATAAATAAAAACATTTTTATGTATTGGTTGGGCTGTATTTTTTTTTGCCAGTTATAGAAACAAGAGCTGGAGTGGCAGTGGGCCTGGTAGGAGTATGTGGAGAGTTCTGTGCTGTGGGGTTTTTGGCATTGGAATGTTTATGATCCTTTGCTCGTTTCTGTCATTCTTACCATTTGCTGATTGGTTCTGAGGTTCCTGTGGTGACATTGGCACTTCTATTTGTGTTCAGAATTTTCTAGGAGAATATATTTAATAATGTTGTTGTTTGATCCTTTGGTAACCCACAGGATTTCTATATTCGATTTCTGTAAGTATGGTGAAAAGGAAAAGATTTGGAGGGATGGTGTCAAGAAGGCACTGATGTTAAACTCCTGTCCCTTAAAAGGATTTTGTTCTTAACAGGTGTAACAAAAGCTGTTGTATTATGGGAGTAAAAACCCCAAATGCTCTCTGGCAAAGCAAAGCACCCAGCACTGCTGTGTTGCCCTGCAGCTTTGGGGCCATCTGGTTTCTCCTCAAGGGACAACCCAACCTGCACAGCTGGATCATCATCCCCGTTCTGGATTCACAATTTAAGGAGGCTGGAAGCCCTGGAGCTGAGTGAAGCTGGAAGCAGCGAGAAGCGATTTGCTGATGGTTCAGCCCCTGTGGAGAGCTGCAGCTTGCTGCTGGTGCCACTGGGGGGAAACCACAGCACGGGAAAGGGAGCGGTGGTCACCGAAGTGCTTGATTAGAACGTGGTGCAGTCGTTACCTTTCTTTCCATAGTCAGAATAGATTTCCAGCTGTTTCTTTTCCCCACCACCGGGGGGTTGGTTTCGTTTTGGAGACCGCTTCTATCCAGAAATGCTGCAGTGTTACTGAGATGGGGCTGTGTTAAAACTTCAGTGCCTCCAAACAGAGTCCTGTGTTCCTTCTCTTGCATTTGAGCAGCAGGATCATCTTGGTGAAGGGTTGCTGTCTGTGCCTGGACTTAAAGGACCACGCTCTGAGCTGCACCTGAGCTCCCAGTGATGGATCTGCTGTTTGTGGGTGGAACTGGGTTGGAGTCAGCCTGGGTTTGTTGTTGCTTTCTTGTGGTCCCTGCCCATGGCTCCCCAGCACGGGGCTGCCTCCAGCACTGCAGGGCAGCAGCAGCAGCAGGAACTGCTTCAGGATGTGCCCCCAAGAAATGAGAGCAACCTTCAGTCATCTTGGAATGAGCTGGGTTTACAAGAAGAGGCAAAGAAAACACAGCTTGGGAAGCCCAGAAAGTGAAAACAAGACTGTTTTCTGAAATATTCACGTTGATACATCTGGTGAGAGGAACTGGCTGTTCCTGGAAAGGAAAACCTATAATAGGCACTCCTGTTGGGTTTTGGGAAGCAAAGTGACATGGGAGTTAAAACATCACGAAGGAGGCAGTTCAATGTGCAACTCATTGCCTCTGCCTTGTGGTGCTGTGACTGTAGAGCTGCCTTCAGTTCTGCTGTGTGTCACTGGAATATTTCTACCCACGTACACTCTTCATCATAAATAAAACAACTCAGAGAGACCAAACAAAGCAACCCTATCAGGAAAGAGGTGAAGTGACTACTTTTGGTGTTGATAAGTGATGACTGATAGCAAGGGGTTTCTCTGCTTTAGAGATTTCTCTCTGAATAGCAATGAGACACCTCATTTTGCAGCAGTTATGAAAAGCAATGCTTCTGGGCACCCTGAAGCTCTCGAAAGTTTGAGATGATGGCAAAGTGGAACCGACCCCCTGAGGCTGTGGTGCTTTGTTCCCTGAAGCATCTGCTCAGATCAGGAGGTCGGGGTGAGTGGAGCTGCTGCCTTCAGCAGCACTGAGCCCGTCCTTGGAGGTTCACTGGTCAAGTAAAGGAACAGATGGAAGAAGGGTAAATAGATTTGCTGGCTTTTGTCCCCACTGCAGAAAGACATTGCCCAGAGGAGCCGTTTCAGTCCTCCTGACATGGTTTTTCCCTCTTTACAAGCGTTAATCTGAGCTGGTTTTGTTCTAAAGTCAGAGCAGAGAGCCCTGGTAGTGCTGCAGAGTGGTGTGATGTGAACTGGCGCTTCCTGCATCCATGGCACTGCTCATCCACAGCAGGGCACAGGGGCTCCCTGGTGTTCCATCACCACATGGTTCAGTGTCATGCAGGCTCCTCCATCCAGAGAGGTGCGTGCAGCTGCTGGTAGCACAGCAAAGGCATTAACAGGGGGCACTCAGGTGGGTTTTTCCTCAATTACAGAACCCTGAGGTCCAGAGCAGAACAAAACAGCCTTTCAGACTGCTTTGAGTAACCATTACTTGGCAGATGCTGCAGTGTTTGACCCTTCATCACATCAACACCTCACGGGTTTGGCACTCAGTGTGCACTGCTCTGCGTCCCACCTACAAGGATGTGGCTCTTGGCTGGGACTGGTGCTGCTGGAAGGAGCCTCAGGATCCTACAGGACATCAGGATTTGCTGCTTTTCCTGGGTGGTGAAGTAGCGGTTTGGTTTGAGGACTTGGGAAACGTTCAGGCCTTGTAGGATCCTTAAGGTTATTAGGAATGGATCCAGTGAAGTTCACCACCCAGAAAGGAGCACAGATGCAGTGACCCAAAGGTGAGTTGGGGCAGTTTGGTGTCCTTCTGCTGAGCGTGAATTCTGGTGTTGCAGAAGGTGAGTGGTCCGTGTGGGGAATTCTCTGTAATGATTTGCAAACTCTGAGGCTGAGCAAAGCGTCCACATCCTCTGACCCCTTGTTCTGTGACTGACCTTTATGTTAACAGCAACTTCACAGTTGTTTTTTTGTTTTGGAGCGTGGTGTTTATGATACTGGTTTGGCCGCTGCTGAGTGTCTCTTTGGAGAGCCTCCGTGGGTATCCAGTGCTGCTTCCTCCCGTGGGGCTGCTGGATTGGGGCTGCTATGGGGCACGAGTCTGTGCCCCCCTCTCCCCATGCGTGCACCTGATCTGGATGCAGCACACGTCACCGTGCACGGTGTCTGTGTACAAATGTATTTGCAAACTGAGCACTGAGAGGTGCTGCCTCCTGTGCACAAAGCCACCGAAGGGTGTTAGCCCTGCAGAGGGCCCAGGGAGAGGTGGATGCAGTGCTTTCCCAGGTTCTCTGTGCTGGGATGGGATCGTATGGTGAGGTATTCACCTCCATCGGTTGGAGAGCTGAATGCCCCAATAGTTTGCTCATCTTCTGCCTCCCAGTTGCTCTCAGTCCCTTGTGGCTGTGCAGTTCCTCCCTGCCCTCCAGCGCTGAGCCCATGGGGATGTCTGTAAGGTAGGGCTGAGCTCAGGATGGGGCCCCTGCATGCGCCCCGAGGGAAGGGGATGCCTCTCTCCTTCTCCTCTACTCTGTCCTTGCCTGTAAGGAAGGCTACGGGCTGTCTAGGGCTCACCTTCGTTGTTAGCACTTCAGGCACAGCGTGGAGGTGTCCTTAGACTCGGCTTCAGAGGGAGCCCGAGTAGGGCAGGACAAAGTACACCCGTTCTGATGCTTTTAAGCAACAACGGCAGTGCTGCTGAATTCGCTCCTGGGTGGCTCTGTTGAGCAGCACTGCCGCTGCTCATCCTCGGTTCTGGGACTGCCAGCAGAGCATCTGCTGTCTGATGCTGCCGTGCTGCTGAGCGCTGCATCCACTGAGCAGCGCGGTTCGGAGTCACGGCTGGAGCGGGGCAGGAGCTACGGAGCTCGGAAAGGAGGAGGGTGAAGCTGCGAGCCCGCTATGGGGATGCCCTACCCGAACACGGTGAGTGCAGCTGTGCGTCCCGCTGTTAGTCCAGCTATGAGTCTGGTTGTGAGCCTGACTGTCCAGCTGTGTCTGTGTTGGTGCAGCCGTCGTCACATCGGGACTGTGAGTGGCGGCACCGAATGCCCCAAGGGGGCTGCGGGACGGGGAGCGTTTGGGGGCTGTTCTCGGGAAGCTGTGAGCACTTAAAGCGAGGCCATCCCCCGGGGAATTCCCTGCTATTCCCCCGCGAGCCCCGGCTCAGCGCCCACATATCCCTATATAACGCGCAGTCTCTACCTGCCGCTGTACTGAGGACAGGTAACCGCGCCGCAACGGAGCGGGGCCGGAGGGGTGCGGGGCTGCGGCGGGGCGGGGGGGGGCCGTTGCGCAAGAGGGGTCTTTCCATCTTAGGGCTATAAAGGGGCTGTGCGTGGCGCTCAGACCGGGACGGGGCCAACAGAGGACAGCCGGGAGACCCTGCCCTGCCCTGCCGCCCCCGACTGTGTGCGGGGGAGCAGAGCTCACGGCAGCAGCCTCACCCCTCTCTGCATCTCTTTAAAGCTGAGCGGGAGCTGCCGCCGCACCGCGGAGCCGCTGCGAGGATCCGCCACCCCCGGAACCCCCACCGACGACGCCGCCGCGCCTCGTAGCCCCGCGGCGATGCTGCTCTGCCCCGATTCGACCGTCTGGCGGCCGCCCAAGGTGGGTTCCTACCGTCCGGGGGTCGGTGGCTGTTTGAGGAGGGGGTGGGAGGAGAAAGAAAGTTCCGGGGTTCTCAGCCCCGGAGTGGAGGAATGTCGGGTTCCTACGGAGCGCGCTTTGCTCGTTTGGAGAAGTTCTCTCCCGCTGCTCTGCCGCTGCATCACCCCGACGATGGGGGAACCTCCGAAGCGGAGGAGAACGTGCTGGGCTGCCGGCAGTACGACTGTAGGTGCTGTGGGGTTGTTGGGATGGATGCTGTGCCACCCCCCGTATGGTGAGTGTGGGCAGAGGGGGCTGCAGCGGGACCTCATCGCACAGCTGGGGTTGAGAGCATCAGGTGGGAGAGCAATCGAGGGAGCTGCATGCAGGAGAACTCCTCGCGTCAGCGGTGTCGAACGGGAGCAGCAAGACAGCGCAGCAGCCGAGCCGGTTGCTCTTCCCCTTGTAAGAGCTGTTTGCTTCCCTACAGTGGGCGTTTGCTCCTCTCCTCCTGCTGCTGGCAGAGCTGGGCTGCAGCTCCCCACCCACGTACCAGTGGAGAGATGCTGGGACCAAGGAGAAGGTCACCTGCCAGCAGTGCCCGCCGGGGACATTCGTGGCACAGCACTGCAGCAGGGACAGCCCGACGGTGTGCTCGCCCTGCCCCGACCTGCACTACACGCACTACTGGAACTACCTGGAGAAATGCCTCTACTGCAACGTCATCTGCGGGGAGCGGCAGGTGGAGGTGCAGCAGTGCAACGCCACCCACAACAGAGCGTGTCAGTGCCAGGAGGGCTTCTATGCTGAGCTGGAGTTCTGTGTGCAGCACTCCGTGTGCCCGCCGGGTTCCGGAGTCGTGAAGTTGGGTGCGTAGTTCTGCTATTGCCCAAAGCTGCTCACCCCAATGGGGGGCGGCCATCTGCTGAGCTGCAGAATGGCTTTGGTTGGAAGGGACCTTGAAGGTCGCAGGGTTTCAACAAGCTTTGTGCTGTTGGCTCGCTGTCCTCGCAGGCGAGTGGCCAAAGGGGATGGAGGTGTGAATGCTGCTGGTATGAGGGCAGGGCTGGGGAGCGTGGATAGCTCTGGGACTCGGTTTTGTGGGATTTGTTGAGTAATTTGGATGGGCTCCACCTGAAACATGAAATAGATAAATGGGAAAGGTTCCAAAATGGTAACGTCAGACTCGTTGTGGTTCCTTCTAGGGGAGATTTGTGAGTCTGAGTCTCCTTTGAGTCACGATGGGCTTTAGGGAGTTATTTTTTTTTTTTTCCATCTTTTCCTGAATCACTCCTGGTCCTTTCATTGCCCTGTTTGCTTGGCTCTGTACTTTCTAAAAATGCTATTAGCATACAACAGGTGCGTGCTTCCTTCTCATTCTCTGCTGAGTCACTGAGCTCTCTCTTAGGAAAGCACAGGTGATACAACACAGCAGCAGGGCAGCATCCACACCCCCTGCTTTGTGCTCAGAAGGCGCTTTGGGAATCCTTCAGCATGTGTCATGGGAGGGCTGCAGGCTCAGGACGAGATGGGGAATGTTTGCTGCCCTCAGGTGATGCTTAAGGTTGAGTTCAGTGGCTCAGCTTTTCTGTGGGAGCGTTACAAAATGCGGCGATTCAGCATAAGGTGAGCTGAGCCTCCAAGAAACGTGGGGAACTCCATGGACTTGCACACTGATTTATCTGGAGAGTGAGTTGTCGGTCTGAGGAGCCACGTGGGGCATTGGGGAAGTGATACTGCTGTGATTTCCACTCAGCTGCTTACCAGCAGCGTCCTCTGCGTGGAGCTGGCAGAGCTCTGGGCTCTGCAGGAAGGGCAGAGCTGAGCTGAGCTTTGCATTCTCAGCCACTTTTACTTTCACTTGGCTGAGGGCCTCCGCTCGTGCTGGCATCCAAGGGTTTCTTGGCAGCTGCTCCTTGGTGCTCACAGCCGATTCTGCTGCCCCACAAGGTGTCCCTTTAGTGAACAGCATCCCCTCCTTATGTCTGGAGCCCCATGGCTGTTGGGGAAGGGCTTGGTGGTGGCACGGCTGTGCGCTGCTGCTGGATGCCTGCTTACGGGTTCTCCCAGCAGCTCCTCACCCAGCACACAGGTTGGGGTCGATGTCTAACGTCCCACATCTCCCCCCAGGTTCCCCCTTTGAGAACACGCAGTGCCACACCTGCCCGCGGGGCTCCTTTTCCTCTTCCAGCTCCAGCACTGAGCCGTGCCGGGCGCACCAGAACTGCACACAGCTGGGAAAGGAGACCAACGTGCCAGGAAACCAATACCACGACACCCTGTGCACCTCCTGCAGGATGGGGGGCAGCAACAGCACGCGGGGACCAGGTGAGAGCAGTCGTGGTGTAAGCGTGAAACCAGGTCAGGCAGGCGGTAACAGCACAGAGCGAACCGTGCTGGGGCTGCAGGGCACAAGAAGTGCTTCCTCTCCCTCCCTCCCTGCCTGGGGTCAGATTTTAAGCAAGCACAGCAACCAGGTGTGGGGCAGATGTGCTCGCAGTGGGGCTTTTGCTGATAGAGATGCCAGCATGTGAGGTGGCTGCTGCAGCCTTTGCCCAAAACCAGATGCTGGCCATGTGGCACAGGAGCTGCTGTGTTTCCCAGAAAGCTTTTATTGTAATCCAGACCTTATTTTGTGCATGTTGAGTGGAGTAAGAACGTAAAGGTCAGCACAGCCTCAGTGTGATGTGGATTTTGGCCTGGAAAACATGGGGGCATGGAAAGGTCTGAGCACAGAGTGTCACGTGTTGATGTGATGACACAAAGCACAGCACTGGCCTCCAACTCTTGCACATCTGATGCACAGTGACGTATTCCCTCCCCAACACTAAATTTTGGGAGCTCTTTAATGAGCCATCTTGGGGTCTACCCTAAAACTCTATCTGTGGCTGGTCCTGTCCCCAGAAGTAAAATTCTGCATGGGGAAAACAGGAAGCTTTAGGAAAAGCAGAGTGTGTGCATACTGCATGCAGTTCCATCCGAGTTCTCCTCCCAGCTTCGTGGCATGGAGGGGAATGGGAAAGGTAGATTTGCTATTTTTGAGGTGAAGGGAACTGTTCAGAGTTACCTCCACACGTGGTGTTTGTGGGGTCTTCTCCTTGGAGGTCTCCAAAACCACCTGGACATGGGGCTGGGCTCCGGCTCGGGTGACCTTTCTGGGCTCAGGGGGGACCAGAGGGACCCAGAGGTATCTCCAACCCCAACTATCCTGAGATGTGGGGATTCCAGGCTTCTGATGTTCAGGGCTCTGCTCTCAGCACTGACCTCCGGCTGCTTTTCTCCCCCAGCTCCAGAGGATGAGGACTGTGAGCAAGCTTTGATCGACTTTGTGGCGTACCAAAACATCCCCCTGCGGAAGCTGAAGCGCTTGCAGCAGATCCTGGAGCGCACGCCCAGGAAGCAGGCCCAGGAGACCAAGGCAGTGGCTCAGGAGAAGCTGCGGGCTGTGCTCACACACCGCAAGCAGGAGAACTCAGCCGTCATCACGGAGCTGCTGGCTGCGCTCCGGGCCACCAAGCTGACCTCCATAGAGAAGAAGGTGCGGGAGCGCTTTCTCTCGTAGTGGGAACACAGAATGGACTCTTAGGGTTGCTTTTTTTCTTTTCTTTCTTTTTTTTTTTTTTTATACCATGGTTCCATTAATTTATTGATGTTTCAAAAACGAACTGGAAAGGCAGTGCGGATGAGTGCTGCGTTGTGCCGTGCGTTGGGTGCTCCTCCAGTGTGCCAGGAGCATCTGCAATCCGTCAGCGAAGCACCTCCAGCAGCTCACTGCAGGCTTGAGCCTGGCTTGGTTCTGAGCTCTGTGAGTTTGGGTTTGGGGTGTAGCTGGGTTGATGAGGCCTTTGGAGACGTGGGTATGGGTGGTGATGGGTCAACAGTTGGACTGGATGGGCTTGGAGGTCTCTTCTAACCTTAGAGATGATGTGATTCTGGGATTCATTTGCTCTTGGCACGCTAAGAAAGGAGTGGACTGCCTGAGACAGGCTGTGGGGAAGATGTCCCTAAAGTCTGAGGTCCTGTTGGCTTTCAATTTATTTTTGAGCTACCTGATTTTATACCATGTGAGATACGTTTTCTAAAGAAAGAAACCCAAGAGGTTATTTTATTACACGATCCTGTTCCCGCTGTCCTTTCCTGATCTCACCGGGGAGAGGTGGAGCTGGGGGTCCCCCTGCCTTCTGCAGGCACTGCTCATCCTGACGCCTGCTTTGCACGTCCCAGAAGGGAACGTGACATCAGCCACTGACAAAGGGGAACTGTGCACACAGAACAGCTCTGCACGCCAGAAGGCACCGCATGCAAAGCAGCACTGCACACAAGGTGACCGTCCCTGCACGTCCCTTAGCTCAGCTGTGTCACTGCTGGCTCTGTCCCCATGCGCTGCCAGCTGCCACTGCTGCCCATCCACGCCTCACTTCCCACAGAGCTTATTTTCAGTCACTTGTGGAAGTCGCCAGGATGCCCCAGCTGAGCACTGTGCAGCCTGTGGCAGGGATGATACAAAGCTTGTTTCTTCTGCCTTGGATGAGTTTGGCTTTTTTAGGGCTCTTTTTGCTGAGTCGTTTCCAGGAAGAGCCTGGGCTTTGAAATAGGATGTTTTTCCCCCAGCAAGTTGTTCAGAGCACACTGGAACACACGCTGATGAGCAGCTCCTGCTCTGCCCACATGCACCAGTGTGGATCAATTGGGCTTGATGGCCTCATAGGGTCACTTCCAGCCTAAATGATGCTATGATTAGAGAGCTGGTAGCCACGCTTTGGGATGCTGGTCTGGCTGGTGGTTCCTCCATAAAGAGAAGGGTTTTTTTTCCCCATGAACCTTTACCTTTCTGGGGTGTGAGCCCTGCTGAACGGCTGCCTCCCCTCAGGGTGTTGGGATGCCCTGTGTTGTTGTTTTTTCTGCCCATGAGACAAAATGTGGGGTTGCAAGTGAGCCCAGGTCTGAGCAGGCAGTGGTTAAGGCTGGTCACAAAGCCAGATGTGCTGGTGCTCAGCCAGATGTGTCCATGCTCAGCCCTGCTGCTCTCAGCTCCACGTGGGCACGGGGAGAGCCGTGCAGGAGCAGAGTCAGTGATGCACCTGGGCTGTGTGGTACGGAACAACTGAGCTGGAGCAGAGCCCAGGAACACTTCCTGCAGCTGGATGTTGGTGCTGTAGGGCTGTTTGGGTTTTTCCAGGTTGTACTGTTGTGGTTTTTTTTATTTTTTTTCTTTCTTTATTTTTTTTTAAGACTGATCTTAATCCATGCAGTTCTTTGCCCCATCCAATGGAGCAGAACTTTGCTCCCACCCCTGAGATCTGCAAGAGCTGGGGAGCCTTGCAGACGCTGTGTGTGGTGCAGAACAGATGCCCTGCCCTGTGGCATGGTGTTCTGCTGCTGGGGCCCCCAGTGCCGGGTCAGATGCTTCTCTGCTGCACCAGAGCTGTAGATCTCAGCCAGCTGGCCTGGGTGAGGATGCTGAGACAGCAGGGGATAACTCAGCCTGTGTCAGATGCTACTTGGAGCAAACGTTGCCCTGCTGCTGTGATGCGGGCCTGGTAAGGACCAGCTGTCAGTGCCAGCCATGCAAAGCAGCTGTGTCCCTTTGTGTGGTTTCCAGACAGGTGACATTCTGTGCACCAGGGCCATTTTGTGGTTGTGATGGGAAGTGCCAGCCCTGCCTGCAGAGTTTGTGCTGCTCCGGTGGGGATTTCTGCACGGTGAAGCTCCTCCTTCATGCAGGCTCTCAGATACCGAGGCAGGGGATCTTTCTGACCTTTAGATCAGCATGCAAATGTGCCAGCAGGTGGATGCTGCTTGGGTTCTGGGAAATGGGGCTTTGCTGTGAGATCCCACAGCAGTCCCACGATGCCGAAGTAACACTGCCTTCCTCCTCCTGCTGCAGCTCGCAGAGCTGTTCACACTCACTGCAATATCACTAATTGTGAGGGTGAAGCAACTTAAAGGACAAACAACCCCCCCCCCCCCCCCCCCCCATTGGGTTTCACTGAAGTTTACACCAGCTGGCTTCTTCCTGGTAATCTAAATGACTTTTCCTTATAAGCTGCACCAGAGAGCAGAACGCAGCGCCGTTAAATGTGGATGCAGTTCTCCCCCAGGGATGACTCAGATGTTTTGTACACAGAAGCCAGTTTCCCTCACGAGAGCCCCATAGAAACTCCAACCTCACACCGGCCTTCCCTATCACCCAATGTGGGTAAGTACTTAAAAAAGAAAAAGAAAAAAAAAAGAATAAAGAAATACCCTGGAGTTTATTTAAGCAGCTGATGCACAGCTGTGTGTTCTGCATGGGAGGAATTGGGCTCTCAGGTGCGGCGCTGACTCACGGCTGGAGCTCCCAGATCCCAGCTCCAGCAGCAGGAGGGGTTGGGACACGTCTGGCTGTGATGCACCCAGAGCAGAGCGGCGCCCTGGAGGGGTTGGAATGGGGATGGGTGAATGATGAATGGAGGTTGAAGCAGTCTGTACGAGTTTGCATGGTGAGGTCACACGTCGCTGGTTCACATGTTGGTGTCAGCAGCGAGGGCAGGAGGTGCTGGAAGGCACCCAGGGGGGGTTTTGGAGGTGTGCTGTAGGGACGTGGTTGGTGTGGGTTTGTAACCAGCTGTGGGGTCATGACCAGATCAGAGGTCAGACAAAGTCACCCCTTGGCCTGCAAACATCCCCACAGCACCAGCAGTGCTCTGATGGAGCAGGCATGCTGCGTCCTCCTGCGCTCAGCCCTGGGAGCAACACTGAGCCTCAGGGAGAGACTGCAAGATAAGGTGAACGGACACCAAGCTTGTTCAAATCCGCCCATCACCATTCCAAAGAGGCACTGATCTTATCTCCTTTATAGCATGGGCTTTATTTGATTTGTAGGGTTTTTCTTCTGATTGCAATCTCCTGCTTTGTGCCCACGCTCTCCCTGCTGAGACTCGTCCCTCGCTGCTGCACGTGTTATCTCTGCAGAGATGGTTGGAGCTGTGCAGGTGCTGCAGGGCCAGGGAAGAAGGGAGTTGGAGGAAGTTGCCCACGTGCAAGAGCAGGAGCGGCTTAGGGGTGCTGTGCAGAGCAGCCTGTGCTCAACTCAGGGGCGCCTGGCACCGGGGTGAGCAAGAATGGGACTTGAACCTCCCATAGCTTGCAGGTGACATGCAGGACAAACAGAAGCCGCTGCTCTCCTGTTAATAGAGGTGCACTGACACGGCCCGTGCTGCTGGTGCTCACGAACACGTGTGAGCTCGGGGAGCTGTTGTTCTCCCACAGGATTTTATCCCTCCCTTCCTGATTTCTTTCCCTTCTCAGCTTATGATTTCTGTTCCCTTCAGGGTTTGAGAAGCTTCCTGAAAGCACAAAGGCTTAAAGAGTAAATGAGAGGTGATGCAGCAGCTGTGATCTGTTCCTAGCCTGGGCTGCTCGGACAAACGGGAACTGAGGGGCCCTGCACACCAGGTAAGAATCATAGAAAACTGTGAAGGTTGAAAAAGAGCTCTAAGATCCCCCAGTCTGTCCCACCCCACCATGCCCATGTTCCTCATTGCCACATCTCCATGGCTCTGAAACACCTCCAGGGATGGTGACCCCACAAGAATAAAACAGCTCGGTCTGTCGCTGTCAGTCCTTCAGCAACCCCATGTGTTCCCAGTGTTGCTGAAGGGCCCCCTTGGGGCACAGGGCAGGTGGGGGTTGCTCCACCTCTCCGTCCACCTGGGTGCCAAAGGTCCCATCTCTCCCCACTGGAAAATGTGATGAGCTTTCCAGGTTCCACGTTTTGAAGGGGATCTCTGCAGGATCCCCAAAAAAGGAAATTATTGTTGCTAGCTGCTGTGTATGGCAAGAACAGGTGAATATCCTCCAACCACACGCGTCTCTCTATGTAGATTCATTGACTTGTTTGCAAGAATTGAAGTGGGTGTAGGCAGGACCGTTGTCCTTCATAGCTGAGCTTGCTTTTGCTCTGAGAAGCCTAAGAGGTCACTTAGAGGAATTTGTGCAGCAAACTGGGTCACGTCTGAAGCAGATTTCTTCACGTGTTCAGCCATCCTTTGGTTCTCCTGAGTTTCCAGCCTGTCGTAACACCCAGGTCTCATTCTGAGCACCGCCTCCTCTTAGCTTGAGAAAATACTGAATATGTTGGTAAGCTTTGGTGCCTTTCAGCTTACAACAGTTTTCTGGGAAACAAGGTCAAGAAGCTCAGAATGGCTGCAGCTACAATTTCCTTGCACAGCACTCTCTGCTGAGAACAACAAGCACTTCATACACCATCCCAAAACAGGGTCTTCTCAAAGCAATTAGCCTTGGAAAACACTTTTATTTTCCATCTTACACAATGGAGGCTCGCACAGCCTGCTGCCCCCAAAGTGGCTGAGCAATGTTAGAAGTCAGAGCCCTGGCCTCACGGGGTGCCATTGCTGGGCAGGTTCCCAATGGCATTCTGTGCCAGCCCTGATCCTCAGCTGATGCTTTCCCAGCAGTGCTGGACACAGCACAGCTGTGCCACGACTTAGCTTCAATGCAGAGAACGTGGAGTGGGGAGGTTTGGTCATTTTTCTATGGAATTAGGAGGGAAGGATGACTTCCCAAACACATGGGGTCAGCAGGGATGTGCGCTGGGGGGCTGCTGCTCTCAGCTGTGTGGGGTTGAAGGGCGTCCTCAGCTCCGTGTGCAAGGGGTCAGATGAAGGCTTGCAGAGATCGCATCAGTCTCACAGGCAGATTTTCCGATGCTGGTTTCTATTTGTGTCTCTGCACTTCCTTCCTCGTCGCTGGAACTTGGTAGGTGAGTTATCAGAGTTTGCTCAGCCTTCCCAGAAGCAGCACAAGGAATATTTAGCTGGGAAACGCAAAGATAAGGAGTGTGCATTCCTCACTTCGCGGCTCAGCCTCAAAGGAAAAATCAGATCTGGCAAGATAAAAAGCAAATTCTTTCCCCCCAGTTTTGCCTGTTGGGTGCTGATAATGACATCATGCAGAAACAACCAGGCCAGTGATTCAGCACCTCTGGTTTACAGCCATTCCATATCCTCTGGTACAGCAACTATACTCGGGAGGCATTTATTAGGTCTTGCACAGTGTGGCACACAGTGCCTTGTGATTCTGCCTCTTCTCATGGCGCAAAGAGGAGCTGTCAGAACTCCTGCTATGCTGACAGTGTGGGTACAGCCTTGCAGAGGATGAGGCTGCTTGGGGGCAGCTGCTTTCTCTTCTTTTCCCCCTTCATGGGTGATCTCTCCCTGTGCTTTCACCTGCAGTGCGAAGGCTTTGCTGCTGAACTGTGCTCTTCAGTGCAGGTGGGGATTAAACACAGCCTCAGGCAGAAGATCTGAAGATGAGCCTTGTTTGGTGTCTGTTCCCCAGCTATCAGAGCACGCCTGGGTAGGTGGTGGGATTTGGTCACTAGATCTACACACCCTGAACACCGAGTGAAAGGCACTCATTCGGATGTTATTGCTTACATGTGCAGTGAGGAAGTGCTCTTTGTAACACTTACTGCTGAGAACAAAGAGTTCCTCTCGCCTCTATGGGACTCGCTCCTCTGTAGAGAGTGACTCAAACATGTGCTGCCTAAGGGCATCTGCAGAAAAGCTGGAGCCAGGTTGTTTGGTTTCTGAGGCTGTATAGCAGCTCTTGGCTGGGAGCTGAACTGGAACACAAACTCTGCAGGTTTCTGTTTCAGGAAAACAAGATCCAAATAATTTTACAGTTTGTCTTTAAAGCAGCGCTTATGGTATATAGGAAACAAAGATTTCTAGAAGTTGCAGTGGAACTGACTTTAATTAGTGCCTGTAAACAAAAGGAGGGCTGTAAGGATAAGCAGGAGAGCACCTCTCCTATGGAGGCAGGCTGAGAGCTGGGGCTGCACTGCATGGAGAAGGGTCTGGGGAGACCTCACCGTGGCCTTCCATTGCATAAAGGGGGCTATAGGGAAGCTGTGGGGTGATGCTACCAGTGAGTGTGGGAATCGGGTCAGAGAGGGGAGCTTTAAGCTAAAAGTGGAGAGATGCAGGGTTAGGTGTTCAGGGAAATTCTTTTACTCCGAGGCTTCCCAAAGGAGCAGTGGGTGCCCTACCCCAGCAGGTGCTTAAGGTTGGGTTGGATGGAGATTTGGGAATCTGGTGTGGGGTTTGGAAGAAGATGGTCCTTAAGGTCCCCTCCAACCCAAACCACTCTGTGATGCTACAAAACACTGAGCCTGGCATCCACCTGGCTGAAGGACGCCTAGTCCAAAGGATGAAGCTTTTACCACGTGCTTTTGTGCTTGTTGGAGCTGGCAGCCACCTCCGTGCCCTGGCAGAGCTTTGCAGAGCCCACCTTGCTGCCTGCTTGTGCCTGAAGGAGATCAGATAGAAAGCAATTCTTACAGTGAGGAACGAGGGCTTAAGCGTTGGAATCCTCCATGGTGCAACGCTCACTCTCATCACAGCTGCACCGGTAGCACAGGACTGGATGGAAGAAGTGCAAGCAGTGTTTGTGAGTGGCTTTGCAGAGACACTGCCACCTACAGCTGTGCACAGAAAGGAGGCATTGCTCATGAGCAGGGTGTGAGTGCACTTCCCCCGTATTCTGCTGGCCCTGGCTTTGTTTCATGGAAGGGATCTTTCACCCCCTGAGTTCTTAACCGAATTCATCTGCTGCCTCATGGTGACGACTGCTGCTTCGTACCCTATGGCAACGAGTGGGAGACAAGGCTGCGAAGGCAGCAGTTTGCACTGCCCTCCTGATGTCCTTGGAAAAAGGATGTGGACAATGTGGTCTTAATCTAGAACCAGAAGCCTTCAGCTTTAAGGAAAGATGGTGCCTCTGAGTGGGAATGAGGAGGTTCCCTCCCAGCTACAGCAAGTGATGTTGTGTTTAAATATAAATGTCAGGCACGATTCCTCAGCTGAGCTGTTGGTCATTGCAGGGCTCTGTGCTCCTTGTTCCTCTTGCTTAGAATCTGATGTCAGAAATGGGGTCATGTTTTCCCCCAGTGACACTGCATGCTGTGCTGCACAAGCTGTGCCCCAGCCCTCAGCCATTCCCTACATCAGGCCCTGGCTGCTGTCAGCATCGTGCTGCTCTCATCATTGAACACAATCAGCACTCCCTTATGAGGTAATGGGTACCGCAGCTGAAGATTCCTGTGATCAGATGTAAGCTGTGCAGATAAAGATGTTTGAAAGCAACTGGCTGGGGCTGTATTCTTGGGAACTGGTTTTGGATATAAGAGAGCCAGAACCTGCCTAGAAAAAACAAATGGAAAGCCCCCAGTGGTTATCACAGAAGCTGGGCTTACCAGAAGAACGGTACAACAGTTCTTTGAGGGATTTCAAAAGTGTGTCAGAAACAAAACTGCATGAAAAGTCTGATGTCCAGCACACCAAATAATGGCTACGTTACACAGGGGAGAGCTTTTGCGTGGGATTTCCAACTTCAAGAAAGATAAGAACAAAATGCCCTTGTGAAAAAGCACCTGCCCTGGTTTCTCTGGACTCTTTGTCCTGACAAGTGCTCTCCCGTGCCTCTTATCTCCCCACAGGCAGATTTGAGTCAAATGTTAATGGAAAGCTGTGCCAAAAGGGATTCTGAGAGGGTACCCAGCCCACGTTCTGCCTGGCACAGTCAGTTCAGCCTGCTCTCTTGCTTATTGCTTGCCCAGCTTGCTTTCAGGCAAAGGCAAGCACTTGGAGTCACTTCTTTCAGCCTCTAAAAACGGGCCCAAGACTGAAGGCAGACCGTTGTGCTGCTTTTGGGGAAAGAGGAGCAGTGCTGCAGGCAGAGCTGAACCTGCTGTGTGGATAAGCTGTGTGGCTGCCCATCAGCCAGCATGCACATCAATCAGATGGTTTCTGAAACCTGTGATTTGAAGGCATGATGGGGAAGATGAGTGCCAGCACCCCTCTTTGCCTTTCTTAGCAGTTCTCTTTGGAAGTTCCCTCTTCAAACTGGTTTTCTTGCTCGCAGACAAGTTCCACAATACTGTTTCAGCACATTACCTAAATCCATCCCAAGCCTTGTAAGTACTCTGATCCAGCTTCTCAGCAGAGGACTGCTGTAAATGTTTATTTTCCAAACCCACAGTGGTACCTCACAGTTATCCATGAGCACTTCTGGAAATCATGACTAAGCAGACCGCCTCGTGTTCAGTGCAAACATCGCTGCTGGAGAGAAGCAAACTTCCAGACTCACAGAACAATGGCCTCTGGTTTGAGATTCCTGTGTGTGGAAGGGCAGATCCTCACCTCAGCTGAACAGATGGACGTGGCAGCAGTGCAGGAGGAGATGGTAGGGCAGAAAAGACTAAGGGCAGCCAGAAGAGCTGTTCCACACCTTCCAGCTGATCCAATTGCCACCATGCAGGCAGCACTACAATGAGCAGAGAGTTCAAAAGCACTGAAAGTGCTTTTTTTGGTTATTGTTCTTCAGCAATGTTGTTGTCTCCTGTTGCTAACAGCTAATAAATGTTTGCCCAGTAGGGAAATTCCAGAGAGGTGAGAGAAAATTAATCTTCTGTTAATGTTCAAACTGAGGCAAGTGCAACACCTACCGCTGTCCTGGGCCATTTGGTTTCATCTCAGTGTAAAGCAATCAAAGGATAAAGTGATTACTCAGATGAATTTGTTGTGGAATAGAAAGCAGCTGTTCAGATAAATGAACTGTTGTGAACGGGCAGAGGCAAAGCAGGCCCTTCTTGAAGGTATCCAAAATCTGAAGAACTGCTCACTTTTATCAGCTTAGAAATGTCCTTCCTTTCCTTGAAGGTTTTCTGGGGACCTGCTTGCAATGCAGAAGCATTTTAAACATCAGTTTGTGCTTCCTGTAAGGACTTAAATAAAAGCAGGAGTCTGAATTATGATGAACAGCTGATGAAATCACTGCTCAGGACACAAAACTGCTACCAGCATGGCACCTCCAACTGTGCCAAGCGGATTGTTTCAGTGGTGCTTATGCACCATGGACCATCCCTTCTGAGAATGCTTCTTCCATACCCACTCCATCCTACTCCATAGGACTGTCCCAAAGCCTCGTTAGCACTATAAACCTGTTTACACAGACTGAGGCTGAACTAAAAATCAACTGAAGCAGTGAGTTGTCCTCGAGTACCTGCTTACGGTCGTGTAGAGCAAATGCAACCAAAAACCCCAGCTGACTGAGCAGCACTCTGCTCTCTTTGCTTCACACAGAGCAGCTGCATGCTGTACACCATCAGTGAGGTACAAGTGCAGGTCATGCTTGCACAGCAAGACTTTTATCTTGCACCTATCAGCTGAATTCCCTCATTGCAGTCACGCTGCAGCACGGAGGACACACAGAGCAATACCAGAATTGCTTTGACCATGTTTGCTTACTGGGTTGCACTCAGAAATCTTGTGACACTACCAGGTAGGTGCACTTTGTCATGCTGGAAAAATCTGACTGCTAAGCTTGTTCTGAAACACACCTAAAGTGCCAAGCAGCTCCACCTGCCCCATCCAGAACCTGCTGTGACTGTGCTGGAAGTCAACTCAGAATTGTATAGAAACCTCCAATGCCAGTTTCAGAGAAATCCTCCCTGACTTCTGTGGACATCAGAGCATGCTCCCACTTTTGCACCAAAGCTGATGCATTTTTCCAGGCAAAAAAAGAAAAAACCAACAAAACCACTCCCAAGCATGAGAACTTGTATTTTGAAGTCCATATGTTTGCTTTGGAATGTGCCACAAAACATTCTTGGTGTCTAGACACTTATGAGAACAGCTACTTCCTCAAGCTCAAAACTGTTTCTCCTCTCTGATCTCCTACTGTGAGAAAGAGATCTGAGAAAGGTATGGGGAAAGCTTGGAAAACCCCTGGTATCCAATTAAACTGGTATTTCACTTTAGTTGACTGAAGAATTTTATCTCCCAGCATGGAGCTTTTCTTCTCCTGTCACTGTTTTACATCATCAGCCTAATTGTTGGCATCAGCCCTGCCAACTGAAGCAACAGCCAGGACCACAGTTACCTGGAAAACCCCTGTGCTTTCAGAGATGCTCAAGTGGGGGAGATGTCCCTCATCCAATTCTCTTGTCCACCTGAAGCTTTCAGCCTTATAAAACATGCAGCACCTACAAAAAGAGCCACTACTTACAGCAGGTGAATGATCTTCCAAGTAATCTTCTCTTTTGACACCAACAGAGTGCACAGGAAACCTGAGATGGGTTATTGGGTCTAAAGAAACCTACTGACATCTCTTGTTTTAGCTGTTTAGTTCTCCTGGGATGCAGCACTGACATTTCCACCACTCCAACTCAGGCAGTGTGTTTTTCTTTCCATCTGTTCTAACAGCAGGAAACTCTAAGGGATTTGAACCAGATTCTGGAATCACTTCCATTCTGTACCAATCACTGTTTTTCTTCCATGACAACTGCCTGGCCTTCTCCTGTCCCAGTGCTATGTAGAAGAAAGATGCTGTTCAGGCTGCATGTGCTTCATGACATACCTCAGGTTCCTTCACACCTTGACTCAAAGCAAGGAACTGAATGCTTTTGTGGAAAAAAAAAATGGCAGTAAGTTGTACACAGAACACTGAACACAAAGGTCTTTGGCAGACCCCAGATAACATATCTTTAAACAAATATCACCATCCATCTCACTCAAACAGAGCCAGAACAATGTTCCCTTCATCAGGAGCAAACAGCACCGAATGCCCACCAGTGCCAAGAGTAACTCAGCCACACAAAGAATAATGCCAAACCACCCCAAAATGCACCCCGATGTTTTCAAAGAGGTACTGGGAGAAATGTTAGTGATATGCCCACAGAACTACGACCTGGGTAGGCTACAAGAGAAGTTGTTTCCACAAGAGAATTCAAAGGAGCAGGAAGCTTTATTGCAGACTGATTTTCTCCCTGCCCAGAGGTTCAGATTTTGGCCTAGACATTAAACAGAGAGTGCCCCAATTCATTCCAGTTAAACAAGGCAATCAATTGTTCTTACAATAAAGAGTGCACAGCAGAGACTGGCAGTCAAAGCAAGGCAGTGCCTCACATCCTGTTAAGAATACCCTTTTCAAACAGTGTATCACTGTGCTACAGGTTGGCTTCCATATTGCATTTACCACAGGTAAAAGTCATGGATCAACGTGCCAACTGAAAACTGAGTTATGATCAATACTGTCTCTCCCCATCATACAAACGAAAGCATAACAGGGCCAGTAACACCACCTTTAGTAGCCATGGGGTGGGAGCAGCAAGGCATCTTCTCAGAGAGAAGGGAGAGCCATTCCCCATGCTCCCTCCCCTTTCATATTCACTTGTTCAGTTCCTTCAAGGGAGGAGAGCTCCACATTACTGGCCTCTAGCCCATCAGACTAATAAATCAAGAATCACAAAGTAATACAAAGTAGAAAATGAAGTTCTTTGCATCTGCAGCAAAGCACAGATTGCCACTCAGTCTATGCTCTCAGGTCAATGGCTTAATACTTGATGTAAGAGATTCCCCCCAACCCCAGCTGGAATCCTTTGCTCAGGTTTTTTAGACAAAGAAAGAGAATGTCTGTCTCCAAACTTCGGAAAGAATCAGGTGTAATAGGAATCTGGTGGACCACCTTCTTTAAAGAGAACACTAAGCTGTGTGGGAAGAGAACGTCCATTCCTTGGCTGCCTTGGATTTCTTACGTGATGTCCTTCTTTCTCGGCGGCCGATGAATGTTCCTCACCACGCACTTCACCATCCATTCAATTCCCTCGTTCACACCTTTGCTGAGGAAATAAGACAGGTAGGCAAGATTAAAACACGAAAACGTGGTGGATGTAGGTCCTAGCTGACAACTTACTGAAAGCAAAGGGTCCTGCCCTGCACTTCACTGCTGGCATTACTATCAAAGCTTCTCAAAGCCCCAAACAGCGGCAATCGGATGTTTTTCAATTTGGCATTTAAAGCCCATATTTTGTTTCTCGGTTGTTTCCACAAGTCTGCGTCCAACTTGATGAGACATCAACT